ATTTTCAACAAAAAAAAAAATTATTGCTCATGCGTAAAAATCATCTGAAAATATAGAAACATTAAAATTTTTTTTTAATGCAGTTTCGCGGATTTTCGCTAGGTGGCGAACGGTAAAAAAATCAATCGCTAGTGGAAATTTATGTCTAAACATATATTCATTGTTCTAATGAGCAGTTTCCAGCTGTTTATTGTCTGAAATTAATTTACTTCAATTAAAAGTGAAATTAATAATTTTTGCACTATAAAAAGAAAATTAATTTTTTTTTTTAAATACATACAGCCGGTTGGAATAATTTTCTGATAAATTAGTCAAATTGCGAAAAATAAATAAAATATTTATGACTCAATGGTTATAAATAATTATAATCAATTTACTTCCCAATTTAGCGATGAGTAATATAATAAATTGATAGTTTCAAAATGAAAAACAACATAATTAATTAATCAACTGTATAATGCCTAAGGTGAATGCACGTTTTTATTTACAAAAAAATTATTTTATAAAAAAATCGATAAATTTTTTTTCGACTTTTTAATTTTACACAAAAAAATAATTCTTCAATTTTAAAAGATCCCAGATTATATTTTAGAAAATTAAATTCTGTACTTAAAAAAAAAAAAAAAATCCCTAAATTTTATTTAAAAATTCTAACACTTAAACCTACTGCACTTGTCCCTATTCCCATGCAAACAATAATTACCATCGATGGTACTTTTTCAACCTGCGTCCTTGATGTACTCGGCACAGAATCCGATTTACCTGAGGCGATTCCAAGTAAAAGTTCGCTTGATATTCTGCTGAACTTGCTTTCGCTCGCTCAGAGATAAACCGTCAATAAAAATCTAAATATAAATAAATAAATAGTAAGTTGTTAAAAAAAATCTAAAGACGATAATTAGTATTCGTAATGTACAAACTTGTAAATACGCAAGTTTGATTTGATTTGATTTTAATTCAAGTTCCAGCGGTAAATCCCACGGTTAAATATTTAGTCCTCACTCTCCTATGATACATGATAGTTGATAGTAAAATTACAAGATACGCTTGAGTACATATCTGACACGGTCATTGCTCAATCCAGCATAAATACTAATAAATGACTCTTCCAATAACCATACATGTCTCCGTCGATAACATATTAATAACAATCTTATTTTTTTTTTACGGTACAATAGTCACTTACAATCACGTTACTTAGAACCCTCAATAAATCGCCATAAAATTTACGAGAGAATGAAAAAAAATTTCAATCCGATATATCTAGGAGGATAAAAAAATATTAACATTATTATGCGTTGTAATGTTGCGAGAGCGTTCATAATTATATTAATTTTTTTTTTGTTATTAGTATCAAGAGTAAAATACTTACTGCCTGAAGATTTATTTTTTTTGCGGTTCTAATACTAGTAATTACGAGATCGTTATGTGAATGGTAGGATATCTGTACGCTATGTACATAGTACAGTTATTATAGTGACTTAGACGTTCAAATAAAACGTCTACGTGCTCATAGACATGTATTGAACCTGATTACGGTATATCGATATTGTATGTGTATGGTTCAGTTATATTAGGTTCATGTTGATGTTGATAGATTGTAGACAGATGGATTAGACGCACGTGGTTCAGGAATTGCAAGGTCATCGGTATACAGTGAATTAAACAGTCAATTAAGTAATTGAGTAAATAATTTATAAATAGTCATTACTCTCATTCAGTAACCTCAAAACATAAATGATTTAATATCGATAAGGAGGATATGGTGGTTAAAAAATTGTGCGATTCATTTTTTTCATTTGTGGAATTATTTATTTTTAATTTTATTCTAGAGGTAGACAAATCATTATTTAATTTTTTGTTTATTGAATAACAATAAATAAATATTTTTTATCCGTTTAAAAGCTAAAAAATTCCAAGTTCAAAAATTTAAAATTTTATACGCCCTTTTTCCCTAATTAGATGTAACAAACAAATTTTAATATTTTTAAAAAAATTGTATAAATATTTTTTTTTTTATTTCCACAAGTAGCATTTTTTTTGATAAATTTTCTCTGTAATAATTTATTTTTTAAGAAATCATAACAATTACTATACAAAAGTGAATTCCAGTTACGATGAAGATATTAATTTTATTTAATTAAATCTAGTAATTTTACTAATTTTTTTTTTTTTACTTTGTACCTTAGGATTTATCAACAAGACATAACAACAAAATAATATCTATGAAAACTTGGCTCAATGTTTCAAAAAAGTCAAATTTTTTAGAGAAATATTTGAAAAACTTAAACAGGAGATAAATAATATGAAGTGTATTTGTTAGCAATTTGGCATATGATACTTGTTTAAAAAAATTAAAATTTTTTTAAACCTAAAAACTCTGTAGTTGGATTTTAAAATTCACATTCTAAACTAAACTTTGAATGAAAGTATTGTAACGACTTTGCCATATCTTCAATTTTTTACCCAGCAATTGAAACTTGAGTTTTTACTAATTATTTTTATACAACTAAACACAATGTTTAGTGTAATTTTCACACCATTTGTGTTTTATTTTCTCACCAGTCTTGAGACTAATTAGTAATTACTAATCACTTTCCATGCTGAACTAGTCATACATGAGATTACACGGCTTTGTTTTTTTCTTTTTTTTTCCGAGGATCGTGCCATTCATTTCTCATAATACTGATACGGCGATTAAAATTAAGTTAATTAAAGTGAAAAATTTTCAACCAAGAAAATAATTTTTATTTTTAATCAAGATATTTTTTCATATACTTTTCCATGTAATTCTGAAAATAAAATTATTAAAAATAATTTTTCTGCTTTTGAATCAAGTTAATTTTTTTTTATTAGTGTATAAATAATTAAAATCAAGCCTTTTAATTTTTTTCTATAAATTTAGGCTTGTTTAAAAAATTTGAAATAAAATATACAATAATTAAAATGAATGAAAAAAAAATACGTGAAAAATTCCGTTGTGAATAAATTTTTCATTAAAATAAAATATAAATAAAATTAATGATTAATGTAGAATTAAATCAATGATTTCATTTTAATTTTCTTGATAATAAGTAATGATTAGTCCTGCACATCTGAGGGAATTAATGACTTATTTAAAAGATTAAGTATTATATTATTAATTAAATTGTGTCGCATTTACCTTGATTGACCGTATTGGAATTCCACTATAAGCGCGTCTATTCTCCAGAGACGAATAAATGAAGCTTCAACTCGTATTAGACACATTAGAAAAAATAAATAAAAAGAATTAAATGATGAAGAATAAGCAAAAGTAACTAAATGCACTTATAAAGGAGAGGATTGGATGATAAAATGCGGTCGCGTACAAGAAAACGTGAAAGGGTATATCGCAATAATTATCTGAGATGCAATTTACGTGTCTTTGCACACTGATACATCGTTATTTGTATTTATATTTGTACATATAAGTCTCCAATAAGTGAATAAATTTATAACCCGCTACCGACAAATGTCACACGGCTTGAGTTTTTATTTTAATTCAGAGAAAATTTTTACAGGCGCGGTCTTGCCAATTAATATTATTTAATAACACCTCATTGTTTACTCAACTCAACGCATTTGAGTAACAACAAAGTGTATATTTTAAAAATTTACACGTACGCGTAGGTATTTATATTTCATAATAAATTCACTGTCGTGATAAATAACGTTATTTATTATTATTATTGTTATTTTATTTTCTTATTCAGATTTTGTCGCTTTATTTCCTTATTTCTTTTTACTGTTATCGTTTTATTTAGTGATTATGATTGATGGAGTAATTTTAATACATTTGTGTTAAGGAAAATTAATTTGCATTTTTAAAACGAGATTAGACACGTTTCTTCGGGTCTAAAGAATTATTTATTTTTTTTTTTCTTTCTTTGAGTTTAAATGAGGACACTGATAAATTTTTTTCATGGAGACTTCAATGCTTGGTAGAGCGATAATCAGCTTTTTGTTACTTCAAAGCTTAAACTTTTATTTGTTTAGAATTTTTTATTTTAATATGGAATTCATTCAAACTAATTGTATAACTAATTAAATAACTTTTATTTCAAAATAACATTTTTTAATAGTCTGTTATTATTTAATACCAAAATTCATGGTGATTGTTTGGTTTTACAATCCACAATTCTTTAATTTATAAAAATGACACAAAATTTTTTTTTCTTAATCACATATTATGTCTCAAGCTCTTCAAAAATAAAATAATTGTTTTAATAAAAAAAAAATTATTAAAAAATAAAAAAAATCACCTTTTTAAAAAATTTTTTTTAATTATTTTTTCCACACGCGATTTTTACTATCTAAGATGCATTTAAAAAAATTTTCTGACAATTTTTCATAAATAAAAAAAATTATCAATTTTACAGATATAAAATATTACAATTTAATGCTTCTTGTTTTGAATTTTACTAAAAAACTTAAAGTATGTTTTAGTTTAAAAAATTAAAAAAAAATGCGCTTTATTAGCAAACCAAACTAAAAAGTGGAAATTAACTTAAAATAATAATTGAATGATTGAAAAAAATTAATTTTATACTAAAAAATTGTGAAATGTTTTTCAATAAATTTTTGTAATAACTATTTCAAAAATACCAATAAAATATTTACAAAAATTTAATCAAGAACTCTATACTTATTTTAAAATAAAATGAATTTTTTTTAATCACTCTATTTTTATTTTAAAATTATTTTTTATTGTTTCATTAAGTTTGACGTAAAAACTTTTTAAAATTATGATAATTTACTCTAAATAAAATCAAATTCTAATTAATTTTTAAGAAATCAGTTGAATTAACTATTCAAAAAATTTTTTTTATAATTGCAGCAATTCCCTACAATAGTAATAAAAATCAAATTAACAAATATTCGAGGATTTAACGGGTTATTAATTCAAAGTTATTAAATATAAAATTAAAAATGATAATTTTTATGGAGAGTTATAAAAAAGAAATTGATATTTGTTACAGCAACGAAACGAGAGAAGCCGAGATCACAGTATTACGACATCCCGCTCCATGAGTTCAATGCAAACACAACAGCCTGGATCATTGCCTGACGTACATCTGGATCCGTATCGATTGATAGAAGACGATCTTAAATACGTATATGATGACATACGACGAGTAAGAATTATATCAATATAAATATGAAATTAGATTATTATTTATTAATTTTTTTATGAAAATTTCACTGAATCATTTCAGCGTTTCTTACCGACTTCGACTCTCTTATACACTAATGCAGCATGCAGCGAAAGTTTAAGTTCTAGATCATGCTGCACACTATGTATTATGAATATACATATATATATATATATGTGGAAATATATGATACTAGTTGGTTGGATTTAACGTTTGGTTGGAACTCACGGTCGTTCAATCGTTGACGCGTAGAGAATAGCTACGTGGTGTAGAAAGCACCTGTCTCGTTTGCGTCGAGTCACGCAAAGCTTGTTCGAGTCACTGTCCGCCGGCCCTGACCTCCTCATTCACTATTTTACCTCACTATATTTTATTATTACATTATATTTATATTATACTTCTATACAGATTCATATTCATATTCATATTCATATTTATAGTTATAGTTATCATAATCACGATCGTGATCATTATTGATCAATTATTTTTATTTATTCATTTATTTGTCCATGATCGTAATTATCATACCTATCATTATATCACGTATACGTTACCAAGTCTTATTAATTATTTATTTATTTTATTTTCAACTATTTAATAAGTCCTTTGTGCTAATTTATTTTTTTAATTTTAATAATAATTTGCGCAATATTTTTTATAAAAATTACCCTCTGGACCTTTGCTGAATATTTATTTATTTATTTATTTCTTAAAATCTCATCCATATCTAGGATATTAGCGACTACAATTATTATACATACAGTTAGAGAGATAGACACAAGAAGAAGAACAATAACATATTACACAGATTTGACTTTAATTGGGTTAAGAGATTTTATAGATCGTTATATATAGGGTAAAAGTACCGTTTTTGGCTAGTTAACATTTGAATTAATTTATAAAAAATTATAATATTATAACCATATTTTTGTTGAGTTCTAAAAAATTTATATTAAAACAAATTTTGAGTTTGTAATGATTTATTTATGAAAATGAAGTTAACCGACCTTTCAAAATTTTTAGAGATTTTTTATTGAAAAAAAAATTTCAATTAAAAAATTAAAAAAAAATTGTCATGTAAAAAACTTGAAAAGCTATAGGTGCAATTTTTTAAAAATATCTTTTTAGTTGTAATTGAATTAATAAAAAAAATCAAAAATTTTTAGGCGTCTGCTAACTTCAGTGTCATATTTATTTATATAAATTCATTTCTATCGCTTATTTAAATAATAAATTGCCATAAACGGTACTTCTACCCTATGTTGCGATTTTTTAGTAGTTCTAAAACTTTGTTACATAAAGCTGGGTCGTTAAGACATTTTCTGACGTCTTTTGAAATTCTTCTAGCTTGAATTCCCTTGGTGAATAGTTTAAAATGCTTTACGGAAAAATTAATTGTAAAAAAAATTGAAAAATCTTGAATGAAAAAAATCAATTTTTCTTTTTTTAAGAATTTCATTTTTTTTTTAATCAAAGTAAATTAGGAATTTGAGTTTATAATATTTTAATTCATAGAAATTATCCTAAAATTTTTTTTTTACAATCTTATATTTTTTTTTTCTTAAAGTTCATTAAAAATAGAATAATCAAAAAAAAATTATTTAAAAAAACTGTCAATTATTAAATTTAAAAAAAAAATGTATATTTTTTTTTATGAGAAAAATTAAATAATTGATATTTTTGTATTTAAATTTTTATAATGAATAATTGTGTAAAAATTTTCACGATTTTCGGTAAACATCAAATTTTTATTCATGAAAAAATTTAAGACTGGTTGAAAATTTATTTTTATCATAAATTCGCTATAAAAAAGAATAATTTAAAGAAAAAATTAATCAGAATGTTAATTTTTTCACATTTTATTGCCCAAAAGTAAAATTAACTCCATTTCTAAACAATTACCGATTTTTTCATCAATATATGAACTGTCGCATTGCGTTCTATTTAAGAAAAAAAAAACTCCGTTTTAAAATTCATCATACATTACACTAATAAAATGATTTGCGTAAAAGTAGTAAAATTTATGAAAATTTTTTAACAAGTATAAATAACAATGTAATAAAAATAAAAATAAGGATAAATATAATAATCGGAGGTTAACTGCAAGCAAACGTTCAACTTATGAGGTAACGAGACCAAGCATGAGTTGTAAATTGCTCCACACACTAACTTAGTATCATATATCATATACAGCAACCAAAGCGAGTTTTTTGCGCAATCTATGATTTAAAAGGGTGTCGCTAAACATCCGGCATCGCTCTTTTATATTATCCACTTATTTGTTAGTAATTATTAATACTATAAGCAATTTCAAAGCAATCATGACCTCGAAGTCTCTTATACGTGTAAAAATATCTAGAATATAATTTTATGGTGTACCAGACTGAATAATTTCTTTCTACTCAGTTTTGTTGTTTCTTAAAGTTTATTTAATTGAGTCAAGGTCGCGTTATTGTTATTATTATTATTATTATATTTTATTTTTATAAATCAGGAAAATTAGTGTAGTAAAAATAATTTATTTTTTGTACAGGAGCTCATCGCGAATACGTCAGTTAAAGAACTCCAAGAAATAGCAACGTACTACTTTGATGGGCAGGGAAAGGCTTTGAGACCAATGGCAGCAATACTTATGGCACGAGCCATCAATTACCACAAAGAAAGAAAGTAAGTGCATATAATATGACTTTTGCTTCAACAGTCCATTCATACTATTTAGTTATTTTCAATCACTTATTGTTACTTTGTAATTTTATTTTATTTTATTTGCTTATCAATAATTCGAAAATTTTTTTTTATTTTTTTGCTTAAATGATAAGAGTGAGAGTTGATTTTATTGTTGGTGACAAATGCATTTATTTCAATTTAATTTATTTGCTATGAATTATGAGTCATTAATATTTATTTATATTTGTAGTAGAAGATAATAAATAACATTTACTCGTTGCTGACTAATGAGATAATAAATTCATTTTATTGTTCATTAGTGAAACCTTAAATTATCTATGAGTTTCTTTTAGAAGCTAAAACATTTGTTACAATAATAATAACAATAATAAATTTATTTTTTAAATAATAAAGGAATAGTAATGAGTGACGATTAAAATTTTGAGTATTTTAAAAAAAAAATTTTTTTTCTGATAAATTTGATTTTTTGAAAAGCCAATTGAGACTTTTTAATCATTAATACTTTTTTTATTTGGAGTTTAAATTAATTTTTTTAAAATAACTAGCAACTTTGCAGTCACTATGTGACTGCCGTGACTTGTGAACTATAAATAGATGAAATTTTGGTTAATTAAATAATGACTTTTGTGAAATAGCACTGTACTTTCTTAAATATTCATGTTTTTAAAGATATAAGCTCGTCCTGATGTTACACTCATCAAGAGCTTTCATTTGAGTACCCTCATGCATTTTTGATATATTTTTCATATATACATATATATAATATATATAAATATATAAAAAAATTGATGTGGGTACTCAAATGAAAGGTCTCAATGAGTGTAACATCGGGATGAGCTTATATCTCTAAAAATGTCAATAATTCACAAGATAAAAGGTAATTTCTTAATTATGTTAAGTACTGACATCAATATTGACGTTTTTAAAGATATAACCTCACCCCGATGTTACTCTCATCAAGAGCTTTCATTTGAGTACCCACATGCATTTTTGATATATTTTTCATATATACATATATATAATATATATAAAATATATGAAAAATTGATGTGGGTACTCAAATGAAAAGTCTTGATGAGAGTAACATCGGGGTGAGCTTATATCTTTAAAAATATCATTAGTTGACAAGATACAATGTAATTTCTTAATTATTGACATTTTTTAAGATACAAACTCATTTTGATGTTACACTAATTGATACCTTTCATTTAAGTACCCAGATGGCATTTTTTATATATTTTATATGTATGATATTTGTAAAATAGATAAATATATAAAATATATGAAGAATTGATGTGGATACTCAAATGAAAGGTCTTGATGAGCGTAACATCGGGATGAGCTTATATCTTTAAAAACGTCAATAGTTCTCAAGATATAAGATCATTTCTTAATTATGTATCTAGAAATAGAGAATTTTCGAATGCAGCCTAAATACTTATTATAATATATTGACTATCGGTGAAAATGATATGAAACCTTGAAAAGGCACAAATTCAAATCTAAACCTTTGCAATGACACTAAATTTCACTAAAAAAACCGATTTTATCATATGACTATCCTGGAAACAAAATTTTTCTTATTCTCTTAATAATATAGATAGTAATAATTTTTTAACTTCAAAATTATTATTAAATAAATATTCTTGACAATTATTTTTAGTAGAAAATTTATTTTTATTTTTAGATTTAATTATTATAATTAATTTAAATATAAAAATAATATTTACTTTTTTTTATTATTATTATTAATAAAATATTTTTTTTCTCAGTGATCTCTTGCCAACACAACGACAAGTCGCGTTAATAGCAGAGATGATTCACGGAGCATCATTAATTCATGACGATGTAATTGATCAATCTGACTATCGTCGAGGAAAGGCTTCGGTCAACGTCAAATGGAGCCAAAAAAAGGTAAATTATTTATTATAAATTCATTTATGTATCATTTGATTTGAATAACTATCAAATCATAATAATTTATTTTATTTTAATTAGGTATAAGTAAATTAAGGTTGAATGATATAAAGAAAAGTAGTAAGAAACTCTCGCTCCTCAATCGTAATCAATATGACGGACAGTAAGGAGGCTAATAAGATGCATGCGAGCGCACTTTCTTGACCACATACGGCCCAGAAATTCCATCTTTTTCTTTCAGTTCAATAATAGTTTTTAAATTTGATCGTTTAAAAAAAATAATTGCTCTTGAATGAATTCGAGCCGGGAACTTTCATTTATTAAGGCATCCAAATTATTTTTTTTTTTTTTTATTATATATTCAATTACATAATTATAAATTTTTTTTTCACCGAGTAATTGAATGTTAGGCGTTTGAAAAGAAAATTAATTAGTAACATCGTGGCTATTCTACCGCAGGGTAAGATTTAATGCCACTTAATTCACAAAACCTCTACTTTCACGTCTGCGATAATACGCATAGTAATTAAGTCAAACCAATGTCGTTTATTACTCTTCTATTTGAGGATTATTTTGCAATATGCAAGTATATATGTATGAATATTATAAAAATTATTTCCAACAAATTTAACTGGCAGTTTGCATGGTAATCACATGAATTGAATATCGATGTTAATTTTAAACAATTACGATAAACTACCAATCAATTTTTTTTTTTTTTTTTTTTAATAGTACGATTGTCAAGAAAAATTACAAAAAATTATTACTTGGAGTGTTTGTTATTAAAATTTTGTAATCGAACAACTGAGCATGGTAATAATATAAAAAATATTTTCCTTATAATATACTGAAATTCCATTTCCTACTTTCCCGATTAAGATACTATCACGTCGTTACGACTTACAATGAATAATAGCTTTTTAAATTGCGTCATATGTACTTATAACTTTACTTATAAGAGTAGAAGTAGAGAATAAAAGGTTTTAAGTACGAGACTTAACTATCAAAGATCCTTTATTATTATCTTTTTATTGATCTACAGATGATAAAATCTGAAAATAATAATAATAATAATCTTGATATTTAAAAAAAATTTTTAAGCCAAATCTGAGTTATTTTCTGACTTATTCTGGACACGCTAGGATGTAAATTAAAAATTCCAAAATTTCTAAAAAAATAATAAACTTATCAACTCTTTGGCCTCAAAACCTTGTAGGGAATGCAAAAACAATTGAATTAGTATGTAAAAAGCGCAATTCGACCACACCTGACATCAATAGGTATATTTCTGGGATGAATATTGAAAAAGAAATCTACCTAAAAAATAGCATTTTATATATGAAAGTTATTTGACGATAAAAACCAAAATTAATTTTTCAAACTATGAAATAAAATTTATTTGATATTAAAAAAAAAATTAATAAATTGAAAAAAATAAAAAAAATCGATGAATTATAGTTTAAATTGGAGATAATTATGTGAACTTAATTGACATAAATTTAATAGATTTAAGCTATTTTTCATGGCTTAGAAATTAATTAAATAAAAAAGGCCCAAAATACATTCATTGAAAAACTGTTCCAAATTTTTAAAATCAATAGCTTGAATAGAAAGTGAGTATTGAAACTTGAAGATAAATATAATAGATTTAACATCTGGGAAATTATTTCCATAAAATTAACGATTTTCGAAATTTTTTCAAGAAGAAAAAGACAGCAACCGGTTATGGCTATTGGTTTCTTTCTCACGCACTAATGCTACCTCTCTTTACAGACTATCGCTCACTTACTTCCACTCACGTAAAATATCGAAAGTTACTAACTTCAAACATTTTTTATAAAAAAATGAGTATCGCTCGTTTATGTTATTTTTAATAAAAAATACTTGTTATATCTTCAATTAATGATTCTCAGTTTTTTAAAACAATCCCAAGAAAAGTACGATTGATATTTAATAAAACGTTCGCTTGAACTTCGGTCAGCGTAGGGTTTGTATGTAAAATATACAAATTTTAAATGCTAATATTTTGAAATTTAGTGCCGCAAGGACTATTTAAAAAAATTCCTGCGTATAGAGGATACTTATAAGTATAAGTACACAAAATTTCAAAAAAATTTTAAGAAAACGGTTTTTTTCGGAACGTCTTTAATATTTAGTATTTTGATTTTTCTTCTTGACACACAGAAAAAAAATGTTCTTGAATTTTGAAGAACTTAATATTCTTGATTTGAGTAGAAAAATTCTTGATTTAAGGAAATTTTACCCTCTTTAAAATTATATTCTTGGTTCAAGAATTTTTCTCTTGACTTAAGTTAATTTTTTTTTCAGTGCAGTATATTCACAATAGATTATATTTTAGAAATTTAAAAAAAAAATTAATTTTCTAAAATTTCTGAAGAAATATCTGCCTCCCTTGAAAGTAATAACTTTTCATAAAATACTTATAAATTTACAACTACAGCAGTTTATTACAAAAATTGTAATAAAACTTTTCAATTATCATTCATAATAATAAAATAAAAAATGATTTATTTATTTATTTAAACGTATATGTTTACTGAATAGACAACATTAGCGAACAAATTGCAGCGAGACTATATTTACGATCCATTGTAGGAATTATTTCTGTTCGTGAGCTGAGAAGTAAAGGCATTACTTAGTACGTGGACTTTTATCCGTACCGAGAGTTAATATAACACACGTATGAGAAAAGTTGAGAGTTGAGTTTGAGTAGAGATGAGTTTAAGATTCTAGTCATGGTTATTTACATAGCCTAAGAACTTTCAACAAAGACCGAGGAAAGGATTGTTTATTTATTTTATATATTAATAGCTTCGCTCATCATTTAAAATGCATTTCGCTGCATATTATGCCCGCCTGATGCTAAATACTTCAGTATTTTATTTTCTCTTCATTTGTTAATTTATTAAGTGACAATATTATAATTTATGTTTGCTTTGGTGAATATATTATCACTGTTAGTTATAATCGCATTTACTCAGATAATTCAATTAAGATTCCAGGAAAATTAAATCAGATATTTTTGATAAACAAGTTTCACAATATTATTTTTTACCGATTGAAATATTCAAACAAAAATTCCAAAGACGTCATAGAATTTATTCGTCACTTTCATTTGAAAAAAAAAAAATAAAAAATACACGTTAGTTTTTAAATTCCATTAGTGTAATTTACGAAATATTTATTACTAAATAAACCTCGTTACCTGTCTGACAGGTATTTAAATTAGTTTACGTGCGTTAATATCCCCGACAAAATATCCCAGGAAAAAATTCTTAAAAATTCTTAAAAATATAAAAATTCATCAATAATAATTTGAAAATTAATTTTTTAGTGTGTTTGTGGGTTTATTCAAAATTAAACCAACAAAAACACGGGGATATTTTGTCCGGGGATATTAACGCGCGTCATCTTAAATTAAATTAATACTTTTATCGAGTTTATTACTTATTTTAATATAATATTTACCGTTTCTTTTCCCCAAATCAAAAGTTCCGTTCTCTGGTCTTTCATTTTACATTTATATTTACATTCATTCATATTATATTATAATTCCAATTCCTCCAAATTATTTATATTTATTATTTAACAGCTTATAGTTAACGATCAGTTTATTTTAACACCAATTTCTCTTTAAATTCTAATCTCATTGATAAATGGGGTTGTTACTCTATTTACTTTTTTATTTTTCAAGTCTGTAAGCTAAATCATTATCTGTATTTATTCGAGTAATACACACTGTCGTTATTTAGCGACTTCTTAATAATTAATATTACACAATTTATTGAGAATTTTTTTTTTTTATTTAGTTACTTTATATAAAGCTTTTTTTTTTTTTTTTTTTCTCATAAGTTCCAAGGCATTAAAATTAATTCAATTAGATTATTAGAATAATAATGAACTATGGAAACTTTTTACTTAATATTATTGCTAGCAACCTTGTAGTCACTATGTGACTGCCGTGACTTGTGAACAATAAAAAATTAAAATTTTGCTTTATTAAAAAATGAATTTCGTTAATTTGCACTGTACTTTCTTAAATATTGATGTTTTTAAAGATATAAGCTCATCCTGATGTTATACTCATCAAGAGCTTTCATTTGAGTACCCACATGCATTTTTTATATATTTTTCATATATACATATATATATAATATATATAAATATATGAAAAAATGATGTGGGTACTAAAATGAAAGGTCTTGATGAGTGTAATGTCGGGGTGAGCTTATATCTCCAAAAATGTTAATAATTCACAAAATACAAGATCATTTCTTAGTTATGGTAAATTGCACTGTACTTTCTTAACTATTGACATTTTTAAAGATATAAGCTCATCCTGAGACACACTCGTCAAGAGCTTTCATTTGAGTACCCACATGCATTTTTGATATATTTTTCATATATACATATATATAAATATATAAAATATATGAAAAATTGATGTGGGTACTCAAATGAAAGGTCTCGATGCGTGTAATATCGGGGTGAGCTTATATCTTTAAAAATGTCAATTTTTCGCAAGATACAAGGTCATTTCTTAATTATGTATCTAGAGATAGAACATTTTTGAATGCAGCTTAAATATTTATTTATTTTTTTATTTATTAGGTTTTAATGCCAAGGCGCGAAGCCCAATGGCAAAAATGATATATATATATATATATATATATATATAGTTATATTTCATATAAGTACAGCTAATAAATACATAATAAAAATATAAAATTTACATAATATTCAAGTGGACGTAATGTTTTTAAGTATTATAAAGTAATCATTTTAACCAGCTCACTATTTGATTGTTATTCGAGATTTATAAGAAAATCGAATAGTCTCGTCTTAAAAGATTCCAAACCAATAAATAAATACTTATTTTGTTTTTTAATTTTTATTGTTATTGTTATTAAATTTCAAAAAATTCCTGATAATTATTATAAGAAAATTTCATTTTATAAATTTATTTTTATTTTTAAATTTAAATTTAATTATGAGAATTAATTTAAAAATTATTTTATTGTTATTGTTAAAATTGACCTAATTTACTGACCTAGAACTTAATAATTATTATATTATTCCAGGTAACAATGGCAGGAGATTTTATTCTTGCAGTGGCCTCAATGATGATAGCCAGATTGAGGAACGATGATGTTACGCTTACTCTCAGTCAGGTATCTTAAAATCTTTTTTTTTTTTTAATTAATCAATTACACAACACATTAATTGACTTAAATATATATATTTTCAATATAGTATTAAATTTAAGATAAGATATTAATCTTACACCGAATCCTTGACTTGTTTCTTTTAATAACAATGAACATTGAGTCGCGAAATAATTGTGTTTTAGACAAACTAATTATAAATACTGATAATTAACGCTACTTTTCAATGTCCAGGTCGTCACGGACTTAGTACAAGGAGAATTTATGCAACTTGGATCTAAAGAAACAGAGAATGAACGATTCGCCCACTACCTCACCAAAACGTATAGGAAAACTGCGAGTTTAATCGCTAATTCTGCCAAAGCTGTAAGTTTTTATTTATTAAATAAATAAATTATTTTTCAATAATATCTGCTATTTATTTATTACGTTTTAAGAGCAATTTTTAAAGATCAGTTCGATAAAAAAATTTTTCGAAATTTTTATTTATCAAGTCAAGATTTTAAAAACTTTGTTCAAATCCCGGATAAATTTTTGTTGATGAAAATACAGTAGTTATAATTATTTACTTTGAATTTTATTAATATAAAAATGGTTTATTTTTATTCTTTAGTGTATTAACTTGATAAAAAAAAATTAAAAGTTGATATTAATATTAAAAAGAATTTTAATTCTACTTTAAAAATTTTTTAAATCTTAAGCAAGTCCTAAAAAATTTTTTATCAAGTTAATCTTTTTGAGAGCTCTTAAAATATGAAAAACATATTTTTATAGGAGATAAGAATAAATTATTAGTCTTTATCCACTATTCTAATATTTGTTGAGTTAATTAATAACATTAATTATTTATAAAAAAATTACAGGTGGCAATGTTGGGCGGTGCAGATGAAAAATTAGCAGATGTTGCCTTTCAATACGGAAGAAATATTGGTTTAGCTTTTCAATTGGTGGATGATTTGCTGGATTTCGTATCTTCAACAGCGACGATGGGAAAACCAACTGCGGCTGACTTGAAACTCGGTCTTGCTACTGCGCCAGTACTTTTTGCATGCGAAAGAGTAAGATTTTTTTTTAATGCAAAACTTAAAAATTTTTTTTTTTTTCAAATTTTTATAATTAAAAAAAGCCGAAAATATGAAAGTTTAATTAATTCTGAATATTTTTAGAGAAAAAAAATCTTAACTGTTTCCCAAAAATTTTCGTTAAATTTTAACCTTGAATAATAACAAAAAAATGAATTATACTTGACAATAAAGGTGAAATTTCAACAGAATACAAAGTATTATTTAAATTTTCTTTATTTAAAAAATATTTTTTAACTTTAAATAAAATTTTAATAAACAAACTTTTTTTTTGCTAGACTCTGCTTGATAAAAATGATTAATATCTTGATATATTTTAGTTTCCAGAATTAAATCCAATGATCATGCGGCGTTTCCAAGAACCAGGGGACGTGGAAAAAGCCTTCGAATTAGTTCACAAGTCCCAAGGACTTGACCAAACAAGATTCTTAGCTAAAAAACATTGCGAAGAAGCAAAAAGATTGGCGGAATCATTAGCTGAAAGCCCGTACCAAAATTGTTTGGTTCGGGTTGGAGAATTTGTAATTGATCGAATGAAATAGTTTAGCCGAATATTAAAATTATAATAAATAAAAATTAAAAAAAAAAAAAAATTTAATTTAAAAATCGAAAAATAAATTTTTTATCAATTATCAAACGGGACATTGAAAAAAAAAATTTTTTTAAGTACGGATGATTGCGTGTATTGATATCGTAATTAACAAATTTAATTAATTAATTTGCTGGTTGAATGAGATAATTAAATATTAATGGTGAAAAATATATTTAAAAAATGATTAATATAATAAAACTGGTTCCTGTATAAATGATTAAAAACAAGTTTGAAATAAAGAGAGAAAGCGAATATTTCTTTTAAAAAGATTTATAATGTTTCTCGATAGATAATTATGTATTGAAAATAAATATTTAAATATATATGAAGATGAGAAATTGACATAATATGTATAACATATAAAATAACTGGTTACTTTTGTCGTTTTAGACTCGAGACTAGACATTATAATAATAGTCGAAACGCAATTTGGCTAGACTAATATATCACCGCGATTTAAATTTTAAAGAATATCTTTTACATGTATATACTTATATTTTATACAAAGATAAATATTATAAAACTGTCTTATTTTAAAATAACTTTAAATTTATAATTAATCAAAAAATTATTTACAAAAAATATCATTTTTTTTATAAGGTAAAGTACCCAGTGCTTGAACACTTATAAAAATGGGACCAGTATTTGAACAGACTTTTCGAATTGTTATAATACAAAATCCGTAAATTTATTATGAGTAATATGCGAATATTATAATTATTAAATGATACAGTAATTGATTTCTGTAAGTTTTTTCAATTACAAATCAAAACAATTATATTTTTATTAATTTAAAAGTTGACATGTCGAGAATCGCCGATAGATGCTATTTTTTTTTTCATGAAAAAGGTACTAAATCGTAAACCGAACAATCAGTAAAAAAAAAAGGGTATATCATTTTAAGTAAAAAAAATTGTACCATCTACTGAAATAGTCTTTTCTTAATAACATATATTTTTTGCAAACACATAAACTAGAATTTTCATATTAAATTTTAGCGTTAAACTATACCTCCAAATTTTCAAAGCGGTACCCAGAACTTGAACAGGCTGGGGCCGTATAATTTTAACAGCACTATAGCCACTAATAGGTTTATAGACTGGTGATTAGCATTGTGATTTGTATTAATTACTGCAATTTAAATAAGTTTTATGACTAAAAATTAGTGTAGTTAAAAATTATTGAACTTTTTGATTTATAATTGAAAATTTGCTTTGTCGTTCATAAAAAATTTAATTAAAAAATTAAATACAAATATTTCTCATTTTTAAATGAACATAAAATAATCACAGTATTATTTTTAATATTATTCAATAATATGTTATATTTCTTTAGATATTTCAATAAAACGTTGAAAATTTTTGGTGAGCTTATTGCCATATATTTTATTAGTTCAACTACTGCTCCCAGAGTGTTCAACTACTGCGACTTGTCAGAATTGATTGTACAACTACTACTTCTTTCATAGTCTATCTTAAAAACTTCTCAAAATATAAATATTCAATTATCTGTTATTTTGGCTTCAATCTAAAAATTGTTTATATTTTCATGAAAATCATTAATTTGAACTAATAATTACATCTTTATGAATTAAAAGTAGGGTCAAATAAGTTTTACTTTGAAATCTGTTCAATTACTGGGTACTTTACCTTATGATTAGAATATTTTTCAATTTAATGAAATTATTTTTAAGAAAAAATCATTTTTATTTAAGCGATTTAGTTAATAGTAAATTATGTAAATAAATATATAATTTGGGTCTGTTAATTATTTAATTAATTAATTAATTAATTAATTATTGATTAAAAATAGTGTTCGAGTGTACAGAATGCCTGCCAAAGAAATTAAAAAAATAAAAACGGTTCAATCTTTATAGTTTTTATTTTTAAAATTAAAAAATGTAGGCACAGTATTCCTTATTATTATTATTATTATTATTATTATTATTTTTATTAATATTATTTAGGAGAATGTTTTTTTAAAAATAATATGCTCAAGTTTATTTATCGTAAACATATTAATTAATTGATTAATAATGATGTTGAGGATGTATTAATGATATTTCATGACATATGTATATAAATAAAAATAGCAAAATTTTTTTTTTCAATGTCCTGAGATTGTTGAAAACATTAATAAATAACAATATTTGTTACATCATGTAGATAAGTGTGTATATTTGTTGAATGTTAATGCCACTGTTAATTTCCGAAATTAATATTTTTATTTCAACGTGTTCTTTTGGAGAGAATATATATGCATAGATATATAGTACTGTTAACTATGGAATAAGTTTAATAGATGATTGTATAAAAGAGATTTGTAAATAATAATATTATTAATTGTTATTATTATTATTATCGTCAACTCAGAGTTTTACGCCTGATTGATTGAACATTTGGTGTGGGTCAATTAGGATTTATTATTCTGCTAAATCTCTGTCATCTAATCCTATTAACTTAATTATTGTATGAGTATTTTTTTAATATAAATAATTATTAAATCAACTAGTACTTATTATATATTTATCATTATATTTTTTACACACCTAAATCTCGATTTTCTCCTGTAGCGTTTCAAAAAATTATGAAAAATTTTAGAATTTTTTAAAAAAATAAATTAGTGCAAAAAAAAGTTATTAAAAAAAAATTGACTTGTAAAAATTATAAAAAATTAAAAATGCAATTTTTTAAAAATAATTTTTTGGATGAAATTTGGTTGTTAAATAAAATTTCCTTAAAGAAATTTTAATTCTCTATTCATTCATTTTTTTCTTTTCACTAATTTAATATTTATTTAATTTTTTACTTTTGATTTTTTTATTTAAAACATGTAATTTATTAGAAAAATAATTAAATTACTAAAAAAAAAAAAAAATAACTTAAAAATTATTCTTAATAGAGATAATTGACAATATTTTTATCATTAAATAAATAAATATTTCATTTAAAAATTATGATATCAAAATTTTAAATTAAAAAAAAGTATCTGATAATTTTATAATAAAGAAAATTATTAAAATCTTACAATTTACATTGTTCATGTTTTACTTTAAAAAACCATTTTTTCATCAACAAATTTGTTTGAAAAATTCCGAATAATTGTTTATTGAACTTGAATTTATTTTGTATATAATAATAGGGTAAATGCACCAGTTGTTGACCGGTCACCAATTAGTTGACCGATGTATAAAAAAGTTAATTAATTAATATTTTACAAGGGTTTTTTTTTCTTAAAGGATTAAAATAAAAAAATATGGCATTTAATCATCATAATAAAAAATTACGCAATTAATTGCGCAGTGATTATAGCTTTAAAAAAATATTCTGAGTTTGTTTACAACGCAACCAGCCATAAAGCGGTCAAAAATAACTACCGTACAATTGGAGAGTGAGTGCATTTCATAATTAATTTAGTGATATTTATCGGCACAATATCAAATATTTTAGTTTTATTATGTTAATTAAAAATCAGATTCCAACTTTTTTGAAAAAATAAAGTTAAATTATAAGTTTCAATATTATTTTAAGATAAATATAAAAATAATCATTATAAAATGTATGTATATTTATAATTAAAATAATACTTAAAATCTTTTTTTATTATTAAATTTTATTTTGTTCTAATTTTTTTAGTGAACGGTTATATCAAAGAATGAATTATTAGAAGAAAAAATTGCTAAGTAATTAAAAAAATAAAAAAGAGTTACAAGCTAGTGTAAAAAAGCTTTAAAATTGAAAAAAACAAGGAGAAGAATAAAAAAATTTCAAGTGAATCAGAAGAATTATCGTCATTAAAATGAATTTGTGATTATTTGTAACCTAAATAAATGTGACTTTATGTTAATTATTGCTATTATTTATATTATTTTATAAAAAAGTACGATTTAAAATTATATTGTATGTTTAGTTTTGTTAAAGATGTCGTTAATACTTTAAAAGTACTGCATATATTTAATTACATACATGTAGTTTACAAAATTACTTAATAATCGTTTGAGCGATCAATTAATTGGAGAACGGTCGGTCATTTATTGGGTTTCTTCGGTCAATAATTGGTGATTTTAGTATTTCAAGATTCAAATAACAAAATTAATTATTATTAATTAAGTATTTAACTTTAATAAAATCCATTATAAATTGGTTTTAGTAGGTTAATAGATTTTTTATAGCTTAGTACAGAAAAAGAAAACCTTAATCGGTCAATAATTGGTGCATTTACCCTAACACGAATTTTTCAAATTATTTATTTTAAATACATTTAATTTTTTAATTTAAAAAATTCTCAAGATAATTTAAAATTTTCCCGCCAGAGAGTTTAGAGGTCGCTACTCTCCAGTCAAACAATCCGCGGTTTATGTTTTGTAATGCTGGTACTACTTTAAACGCGATGCGTTTTTGTTTTTATTTATTATATGAGGTTAAAGTAAGCTTTATTTCCTTTATTTACATCTGGATTATAAGCACAAGTATTTTTATCTATGCACATGCATGTTAAACAGATTGTTGAGATTAATTAATTAATAATAAAGTGACAAGTGTAATTGTAGGTGTCAACAAGTAGTTCATATCATTGTTATCTTCATTTTTAATAATATAAGAATTTTTTTAAACAGAAATATTTATTCATTTCTTTTCTGGTTAGTTTTTTTTTTTTTTTTTTTTTTTTTTTTTTTTTTTTTTTCGTTTATTGTGACTCTACAACCACAAATAACGAAAGGATTAACGCTGGGAACAAAAAAATTAGATCAGCTGTAACACATAAATATAAAAAATATGAAATAAAACATGCAAGAATTATTTAATTAAATGATACTTGAGTTAACTGACAACTGTTAGTTATTACAAATTATTATAACAAATAAATTACAATAATAAAAAATGCTTTTAAAAATTTTCATTAATAATTTTTTTTTTTTTAATTTTCACCAGTGGAATTTTTTTATTAAGTTTTTTTAAAAAAATTTCACAGTAATAAAATTCTGAAAAAATTTTTTATGTCTGTCAACTTTAGTATCATTTAACTAATAAAATGTAATATGATAATTAATTTGATTACAACTATGTATGGTGTTCTATATTGGATACTCAAGTAAATTTCGCATTGTGTTTTTTGACAGTTTTTGTTAAATTCATCGCAGTGCAATTTAAAAGGACTAATGTGTTAATTAGTTAATGACTTATTAATTGTGAGTGTCATTTGTGAAAAGTTCATTAAATCTATAATTATGATAATTTATAAAAATAAATTATTTTTATAATGGACTTATTGTGATGATTGTTGACAGTGACAGTGTTTTTTTTTAACTCCAAAATTTTTTTTCGTGAAATTTAAAAAAAATTCAATTGTTTTATAAATTTTATCACTTTTTTTTTGTAAAAATTTTCAAAAAGTAAGGTTTCTGGGCTCGTCCGGGATTTGAACCCGGGACCTCTCGCACCCGAAGCGAGAATCATACCCCTAGACCAACGAGCCGAGTTTGCAGTAAAGATGGCGGTGTCAATGTTGGGTCTCCGCTTTTTGGAGTAAAAAATTAATCAAAATTCTGGAATTTTTCTATTAAAATAAAGAGAAAAGTTAAAAAAATATGATTTTATTTAATTTTCATGCAAATTTAATAAAGTTTATTAATAAATTCCAATAAATTTTAATTATTACTCCAATTTAAATTTAAGTAATAAATATTAAATAATGAATAATTTATATTTAATCGTGACTTGGATCAATTATTTGTCCGCTGAAGATTATTGTGTCGTCTTTTATAATAAAAAATATGAAAGGACGATTTGCTGTAAATTTGATTTTATGAATCATGCAGGAATTATCATCACCTTCGCCTAAAAAAATAAATTATATTAGTTGCTAATAATAATTAAAATTTAATTTACATATTTATCAAAATTTTTTAAGAAGAGATACATTTAAAAATATTTTGGAGTAATTATTTTAAAATTGACGTTAAAAAAACACCAATAATATACTTACACAGATAATAAGGTCCAGCACATTCTCCTTCATTTACTTTTAAGACAGTTTTTTGTAAAATTCGACTAATTTTTGCCTTTTTAGACATACAGCAAAGATTAGAATCGTCTATTGTTTTGTTAATATTTATCTAAAAAGAAAATATTATTATTAACAGAAAATAAAATCAATAAATGATTAAAAAGTAAAATTACCTTGTCCGAATAATTGTTTAAGTCAATAAAACTTTGAATTTTAAATTTTGGCATAGATAATTCAACAATCTCTAATTTTGCGTGCTTGCGAAAATCAGTGTACTGAAATTTATGAAGATTTTTAAGAACATCAGGCAAAGTTTTTTCCTCGTCTGGCAAAATAACAATCATTTTAAGCTCTCGATCTTCATTAGTCTAGAAAAAAGTAATTAGTATCATCAACAAATCCCGGTAAGTGAGTCTCAAATTTTATTATGTACAATTTTTACCTTCAAAGGAAGCTCAATAACTTCAGCAGGTAAATAATTCATATGGTAATAATAAAATTGATTTATTTGCAGCATTGTACATACAGACTTGTACGTATTTTGCCCTACGTAAAATAATTTGTGATCGTTAAACAACCGGTCGAATGATTTTACCCAATTGGTCTGAAAGTAGCCAACACCGGCGAGAAGTAAAGATGTATCTTCACTGACCACTTCATCTGAAATTCAATATGAGCGTAATGAAAATTAAGCAAGAAAATTTTGACTAAGTAATTGACGAATTTTCATACTTTTAGTGTTACTGATGATCCTTTGCACATAATTGTTGGTTTTATTCGCACCCCAGCGATTAATTTGTTCAACAACGTCGTTTACTTTTTTGTAGTCGACACTCAATGGGTCTGATTGGTAAGCAGCTTGAATCAAGTTCCTGTATTCTGGACTAATTTCCACGTTTTGAGGTAGGAATATTTTATCACCCAGAAACAATTTTGTTTCATTGATATCCTGAAGATAAATAATTTATAAATTAAAAACAAAATTATGTTTCATATGAAATTTATTTCACAAATAAGATATTTATTTGGAGCCGTAAGATGGACGGCAGAATTCATGAAATGGTCCACCTTTACAAGCATGAAATGTAATTTAAACATGCTTTTTAACTTTTTAAAAAAACAATTAGTTTAAAATTTATTATCACTTTAAAAAACCATTTAATATCATTAATATCTAATAAATAATTTATTATTGGACTATTGCTACATCAAAATGTTAAAAAATCACCCTCTAAAAAATAAGGAGTTAGACCGTCGATATGAAATTTATTTCACAAATAAAATAAGTAGTAAATAAATATTTAAACCAACAAACCTTAAGCGAATCGACTAAAAATTTTATAGGGCGTAATTCTTCCTTAGATATTTCTTTCGACAAATGTAAAGTCTTATCTAATTCCTTTTTAGTGTCTTTACAGGCTCCATTTTCAGCCATCAGTAATAACAGCGCAAAATTAATAGGTGCGATTGCGTAATTTGTGGTATTGTCTCTTAAAACAGCCTGAAAAAAAATCATCCAATACTTACTTACACAGAAAAAAAATGTTCTTGAATCAAGTATATAATTTTGAAGAAAATATTCTTGATTTGAGTAGAAAAATTCTTGAATTAAGGAAATTTTACTTAATTCAAAAAATTTTCGTCTTGATTCAAGACAAAATTATATTCTTGGTTCAAGAATTTTTCTCTTGAATCAACTTAATTTATTTTTCAGTCTACCTCCGTCAAGTCCAGACCAAACTCATTGATACTCTTTACAATTTTCTTCAGCGTCTTTTTCTCCAAAGGTTGCAGTGTAATATTTTCAAGTTTATCAATAGTATCTTTGTCTACTTTAAGACAATTATCCAAATCAGGTTTTGGATTTTTAGGCGAAGCCTCTGGTTTTACTTCATTGGCCTTAACTTTTGATTCAATTACCGGTAAATCTTTGGACTTTTCATCATCAACCTTATTTTCAGGCTCCGGAGTTTCTTCAGAAGGTACTGATTCAGTTGTAGTTGTCAACGCTTCAGGTGTCTTTGATATTTTATCATCCCTATCAATTTTAGAGGGATTTTCATTATCTTCGTCCGTATAGTTCAGATCACCTGGTTCAGATTCAAACATTTTTGGTTTAGCTGACGTACTTGGTATTGAACGATTGTCATTTTGAGGACTAGGTGTTGTCTTAGAACCATTATCATCATCATCAGTATGTCCACCAGAGGGTTCATTTTTTTTAGCAGTAGTACGACTTGATTCAGTAACTCCAGTTGTTGAACCATACATCTTGCTATCATCTTCACTATCTTTGGTAGGAGATTCAGGACTTTTTGGTTCAGTAGTCTTCTTATCATCTTCAGAAGGTACTTTGCTAGTTTCTTCAGCAGGTGTTACACCATCTTTAGTATATGAAGTAGTACTTGTATCAGTAGTAGTCTTCTTACTAAAAACTTCATCATCTTCATTTTTGTAGTCTTCACCTGGTTCAGAGTCTAATATTTTTGGACTAGTTTTTTCAGGACTTTCAACCTTTTCAGTTGTTGGCTTATCAATTGGATCAGTTGAACCTGTTTTTGGTGTTGCTTTAGAATAAGAATCCATTGGTGTTGTTGCAGTATTTATATTTGTATTATCTTCTGTAGCATCTGCATCGCTTGTTTTAGTCATTGAAGCATCATCATCATCAGTATGTCCACCAGAGGACGGTTTAATATCTTTTTTATTAGTTGTATGACTTGATTTAGTAACACCAGTTGTTGAACCAGACGTCTTTCTATCATCTTCACTATCTTTGGTAGAAAATTCAGGACTTTTTGGCTCAGTAGTCTTCTTATCATCTTCAGAAGGTACTTTGCTAGTTTCTTCAGCAGGTGTTACACCATCTTTAGTATATAAAAGAGGTTCAGAAGTAGTACTTGTATCAGCAGTTGTCTTCTTACCAAAAACTTGATCATCTTCATTTTTGTAGTCACCATCTGGGTCAGAGTCTAATAATTTTGGACTAGTTTTTTCTGGACTCGGTGTAGTTACATCCAATAGTGTTATAATACCTTCACTACTTGGCTTAGTAGTAAATTTTTCAGCATCTTCTTTTTTAGAAGGTTCAGTTGTTTCTTCTTTTGGAGTTCTATCACTTGGTTTAGATGCAATAGTTGTCCCTGCCGGTGTAAATTTCTCTGTAGTTCTATCACCAGAAGGTGTTACATTTTTATCTGTAGTTTCACCTGGTGTAATCTTACTATCCTCATCATCTTCACTCTCACTAATATCTAATGATGGTTCAGAGTCGTAGGTTTTAGTAGTATCATTTTTTGGTGTTACATCTTTTTTTTCAGGACTGACAGTAGTTGAAATAGCTGAACTATAAATTAAAATAAAATTAATATATTTAAAATTATTAAAAAAAAAAAAATTATTTACCTCAAAGTTGTAGATATTTCTTCAGTTTTATTTGCTGTTGTATTTTGACCACTGCAAAGTCCAAGTTTCTGAAACTGTTTCATCAAATTTATTAACATTTTTAAAATATAAAAGGTGATTCTAAAATAAAAATATTCCAGGCATACAAATAGTGATTATAAATGACACTGAAGTTAGTAGACTTGAAAAAATTTTTGATTTTTTTTTATTAATTAAATTACAGTTAAAAAAAAATTTATAAAAAATTGCACTTATAGTTTTTAAAGTTTTTTACATGTGAAATTTTTTTTTTAATGCTTAATTGACATTTTTTCAATAACAAAATTTCTAAAAATTTTCAAGTGTCGGCTAATTTAATTTTCATGAATAATAATAAAGTTAGCCGACACTTTTGATTTTTTTATTTTGCTTAATTTATTAAATTAAAACTAAAAAAATATTTTTAAAAAATTGCACCTATAGTTTTTGAAGTTTTTAACAAGTGAATTTTTTTTTCTTTATTTTTTTGTAATCAATTTTTCGATAAATATAATAATAAAGTTAGCCGACACTTTTGATTTTTTTATTTTGCTTAATTTATTAAATTAAAACTAAAAAAATATTTTTAAAAAATTGCACCTATAGTTTTTGAAGTTTTTAACAAGTGAATTTTTTTTTCTTTATTTTTTTGTAATCAATTTTTCGATAAAAAAAAAATTCTAAAAATTTTTAAATGTCGGCTAACTTAATTTTCATTTCTCATGATTATAAACTATCAATTTGTGTATCAATTATCAATTGCTAAAAATATTTTTTTTTTCTCTTCTTTCAAACTTGTTAAAAAATTTCTTCAATCTTCTCTTTACAAATACTATTTATTGTATATAAACATTACTAAAATTCTATACATGAAAATGTAACATAAAAATAAATTTAATAACTTACCATGTCACAGATGTTTGGTAAAATTGGAATTCCATGGCACTTGCAATCACAGTTTGGCAGAGAAATAGCCGACGAATTTCCATTAAATAAAGAAAAAGGAACTGCTACACTATTCAATGGCAAAGGTAATGGACTAGTCGTATTACACCCACCCGTAAGTACAAGAATTAAATTCAAAAGCGGCGTCATAGTAAACACATTAATTTACACTCTTAATTTAAAATGAATCTTGTGTGAAAAATATTACTAACTAAACCCATAATTAACATCCAGATTATTTATAAGAAGACAAATCGCCAAGAAATCAGTAAATATTTTTGTTATTAAGTGATAAGTCTTGTAAATTGATTTATCAGCTGAAATTTCCTCAATTGTTGGTACATTTTTTGAACGATAATAAAGAAGATATTGTTCGAAGAAACAAGTGCTTTAAAAACATGATTTGAATACTTGATAAATGTGTAGGAAGTTGAATTTTAAGGAATTTTTAATCATTGATTGATTTTATTTAATTATTTTATTACAATTGCTTACAATAAACGTAAAACACGAGCGATTGTCTTTAAAAAAAAATAAAAAGTATGTTCGTGCCTAAAATTTAAATACAAATTCAATTACACGGAAGTTTTTTTTAAGTATTTTAAATATAATTAAACAATAACAATCACTTAGATATTATGAAGTGTATTCAACAGTAATATTATAGGCATTAACTTTAACATTTGCGTTATTTTAATTCTTAATTGTAATTGTATACAATAAATTGTTTTTTAAAAGTTACAGTCACTTGAGCAGCAATTTTTTTTTATTTGTACGATCTATCGTACTTAAGCTACATCAATGCCTTGTTTGTTTTGTTTAATTAATATTTAATTATATAATAATGGTAAACCATATTAGCGCAATAATCGCACAGAAATTCAGCTTAAAAATTTTAAAAATTTATCTGTAATATTTAATATAAAAAAATTGTGTTTTCTAACCAGTGTTAGCTTATAATTAATTATAATTAAGTTCATCGGCAAAAAATAACGATGTTTAAGCATTAAATCGCATCATCAAATTAATTAATAATTTGCATATTATTAATTAATTTTTAAGTGTTTAAATAAAATATTCTATGATGATACATCTTGAGGATCATTCACTGCTGATGTAATTTCATTGGATTTTTTGTTATCAAGTGCGGCTGTTTTACAATTCGCTGAGTATTAATTGATTACATTGGAGGATAAAATTGAGTAAGTTAATTGTTTAAAATAAATTATTTTTTTTAATGTTTAAAGTCCGTAAAAATAATTTATGGAGTAATCAAATAATATACGGCAAATAATATTGAAGCCTAATTGAAAATATGAAAATACTGACGGATGAAATGTGTAAATATTTAATTATTTGATTTACTAAAATTTTTTAGATTTTTGCTTTGATATTTATTGTTATTTATGACTAGGATTAAAAAGCAAGACCGGCTTCTGAGTATGTCGTGAAAATTTTCTCAATGGAATTTGCGTAAGCTGCTGTTCTCAGATCTAGTCCCAAGTTGTATTTCATTGCAGTCTTCATAATAGCCTTTCAATAATAAAAGAAAAATTAATTATTATTATTATTATTATTATTTATAATAAAAATGATAATTAACAAATAAAGAGTACACTTACTCTAGCTGATCGTTCCATAGTATAGTCAAGACCAGAATGAACAATGTCTTTTTCGGAAGCACCAGAAATTCTTTTTTGGAAAGCTTCAGACGCAGTTACTGGAATACGGCCTCCAACACGACCAAATCTGCGTTCTAAAGACTCTTGGACGGATTCTAAAAAAATAAATATGATATAAGTATTCTATATTGTTTATAAAATTAAATTTAAAATATAGCATATAAAAAAAATTACCCAATAAATGGTAATTAGATTCTCTTTCATATTTAAATGTCAGCCGTCCGTAAGAAACATGATTCAAATTCTTAAGCCATTCGAAGAATGACACAGTAACACCACCAGCGTTTATATACAAATCAGGAATAACAAGTATATTTCTTTCAATAAGAATTTTGTCGGCAGCAGGTGTTGTAGGTCCGTTAGCAGCTTCAGCAATTATTTTAGCCTTGACAATAAATAAAAATGACTATTAATTAATTAAATAATTTTAAAACTATGTCATCAATAGTCAAAGAAATATAATATCAGCTCTTATTAAGGGGGAACATCAAAATTAAGGGTAATAATCTTTAATATACCCTTAATAAAATAAAAAAAATCCGATCCCCAAATTCCTTTATTTTCCCTGTCTAAAAAATTCCCGAAAATCATGTTTTTTTTTTTTCGACCGTCACAGTGGTGTTCCCCCTTAATAGATATCAGATTGACATAAATTTTTTCGATGGTTCCTAAAAATCATTCTTAGCTAAATTAAAATAAATCCTGTGATTTTTAATGCTTCAATACTTTTTCTTATGTATTAGTGTCTATTAGTGTCTCTTCTATTATAATTTGTGTTTAAACAAATATCTCAAAATTTTTGTATTGTATTTGTACAAAGCTGATTGGCATTTAAATATATAAATAAATAAATAAATAAATAAATAAATAAAATTAATACCTTGATACGCGATGCGTTGTCTTTGTTGATAACCTTCTCAATGGCTGCAGGAATGAAAATATCGCACTGTTCGTACATAAGATTCTCACCAGTGTAAGGCTGGGCGCCGGGGAAACCAACAATAGTTCCATTCTCAATTCTATAATCTTCCAACTGCTTGGGATCGATTCCTTCGGGGTTGACGATCGAGCCGTCGTGCTCAATAACACCGATACAAGTAGCACCGGCCCGGTGGAGATAACGCATCGAGTGAAGACCTACATTACCAAAACCTTGAACGATAAAGGTTTTACCGCCCCACCCGGGAGTTGTTCCAATCATAGACATGTAGTTAGCCTCGTTTATAAAGTTCTCTAGACCGTGGAATACTCCGCGACCGGTAGCTGAAATACGTCCGTGAATTCCACCCTGATTGATGGGCTTTCCTGTTACACACGCGTGAGCGTTTATGTCCAAGTGACCGATTGTTTTGGCATAGGTGTCCGCTATCCATGACATTTCCCGTTCACCTGTTCCCATATCAGGGGCTGGTACGTCAACTCCAGGTCCTGGAAAAAAAAATTTATCATTAATAATTAATTAATAATTTTTTTTATATATTAGTAAATTTATTTAATTATTTTACTTACCAATAAAACCTTTCTTGGCCATCTCCAAAGTAAACCTGCGAGTTATTTTTTCCAATTCATGCTCTGAGTACTTTTTAGGATCGATTTTTATTCCGGCTTTGGCACCTCCAAAAGGAACATCGACACAAGCACACTTGAAAGTCATCAATGCTGATAAAGCTTTCACTTCATCTCGGCAGACGTCCATTGAAAATCGGATACCTAAAACAGATAATTTATTAATTAAATTTTATTCAGATTATTTTTAGTTTAATACTAGGCTAGCAGCCTTGCAGTTACTATGTGACTGCCGTGACTTGTGAAATATAAAAAAATAAAATTTTGCTTTATTAAATAATGACTTTTGTCAAATTGCACTGTACTTTCTTAACTATTGATGTTTTTAAAGATATAAGCTCATCCCGATGTTATACTCATCAAGAGCTTTCATTTGACTACCCACATGTATTTTTTATATATTTTTCATATATACATATATATAAATATATAAATATATGAAAAATTGATGTGGGTACTCAAATGAAAGGTCTCGATGAGTGTAGTATCGAAGTGAGCTTATATCTTTAAAAATATCAATAGTTCACAAAATATAAGGTCATTTCTTAATTATGTATCTTATATATTATTAAATTGCACTGTACTTTCTTAACTATTGATGTTTTTAAAGATATAAGCTCATCCCGATGTTATACTCATCAAGAGCTTTCATTTGACTACCCACATGCATTTTGGTATATTTTTCATATATACATATATATAATATATATATATAAATATATGAAAAATTGATGTGGGTACTCAAATGAAAGGTTTCGACGAGTGTAGTATTGAAGTGAGCTTATATCTTCAAAAATGTCAATAGTTCACAAGATACAAGGTAATTTTTTATTTATGTATCTGGAGATACTTTTCCAGCGATACCAAATTTAATCATAAAGACCTATTTTATCATATAAATACACTAGCCACAAAATTCTGCTTATTCTCTTAATAATATAGATAATTAGTATATTTTAGTAGTAATTTCTATTTATATTAACTCTAAATATAACTTGGAATCTTTCTTCTGATATAATCTATATATTTACTTTACTTCAATGCATGAGCAACAAATTGGCAAATGCTTCGACCTAATGAGCTTAGACAGCACGGCACCGATTGTCTTTTGTAATTATTTATTTTTCATACATCGGAGTAATTAAATTTTATTTTAAAAGGAAATATTACATTTTTTTTATTTTTTAAAGAAGAAGTATTTATTAAAGTTATCGGAGAGTTATTTATAAATGTTTTTATTTTTAAATAAAATATTTACTTTTTATATTTTACTTATTTGAATAATATTTAATATTTACTGATCATACTTCCAAGTTATGTGTAAATATTTTTTATGAATTTAAAAAAAATTCAAATTATTTTATTTCACAATTTTTATGTTTTTCAATTAAAAATAGAGATTATTACAAAATTAAAATAAATAGATATAAAAAATTTATCTTTGAGTAATAAAATAGATAGTAGAAATATATATAGATTATAAATTGAATAGTTACAATATTTATATTTGTATAATGAAAACAATTTTCTCAGCGAATAAATATAAATAACTAATGAATAATTTTTATGTAAGAGAATTTAATGATAATAGATAATTATCTGGACATGTTTACTAAATGAGCATAATTCTCAAGTAAAAGACGAGCCTCTAAGTTTATTTATAACATATAAGATGGGTTACAAGGCTGTTGAAGCTTAAAGCTTTTGACTGACCTCATTATTTACTATATTCTTCACAAAGTGCTTTAACAAATCCATAATTGTTAATCAATAACAGTCAATTATTTTCAATCAGCTTATCAAGGTCTAACGCCGGCTGTTTATCAAAAGTAACAATAACGAAACTGCTCAATGCAAGCAAGCCGTTTGATGAAATAAAATAAAATAGAATTAATTAATGGATAAAATGTTTTTTTTCTCAGTAACATTTCAATTTAGATTAAATTTAATTGACTCTTAAAACAGAAACTATTGAATGACTCATTAGTGCCACGTGTGTTTGTTAAAATGCCAACAGTTAAATAATTCCAACTGTTCATATGATACTTTTTTTTTTTAATCGTATGATTATATTTATATTATTAGGTATGTAACAAGAGACGTGAGATATTTTGATAAAAATAATTTTAAATATAGTTTAATTTTTCTTCGGCCAAAAATTATTATTTTTTATTTCATCAATTGTAATTATTAATTTTATTAATTTAATCTGATAAATTAAGTGTTCATGAAACTAAATTAGCGAATAAAAAAAATTAAAGTGATAAAAAAAAAAAAAAAAAAAAAAAAAAAAAAATTAGTGAATACTTTTAACAAGAAAAAATAAACAAAACTATTTTATCAAAAGAACACGATTAAAAAATGATTCATTACCCGGAAATTATACGATTGAATAATAAAAACGTTTTATTATTTTATTATTATTCATATAATTGAAATATCATTGAATACTGATGATTATTATTAAGCAAATGAAAATTGAAGTCCAATATCCGATGGCTGTCTATTTGATAAGAGCAAATGCCGAGAAACTAGAATTAAAAATGGTAATTTTATTATTGACGGTATGATAATAAAATAACAAATAAAGTGTTGGACGAATCAATTATATACAATGTCTTCATTGTTTACGTGATCATTTTTTTCAAAGGTACTTTATCTAATTTTTCATTGACCTTCTATTTCAATACTCTCGAAGCGTGTAGACAACTTGATGTACAATCACTGACACTTTACTGGCGATTTAATCTCTATTATTAACGGTGTCAAGAAGCTGACAAGAAAAAAGTCTTACAACATGAATATAAAGCCCCGATTAAATTTGTTTTTTTTTTTTTTTTTTTTTCATGAATAACTCAATTATTATTTTTTTTTTTTTTCATCAGATATCAAAAATTATTTTATGATAATAATAATTATATCATTTCAAATATTTAACTCTTAAAATATATCAAGAATCCGTGTGTAAAAAATTTCCTGAAAAATTTATGATAAAAAAAAATTTTTTAATTTATTAAAATAAATTACGAAAAGACACTGAAGTAGTTTTTCAAGTTTTTTACATGTGAAATTTTTTTTTTGCTTAATTGAAATTTTTTCCTAAAAATTTTGAAATGTCGGCTAACTCCATTTTCGTATTACGAATCATATTTTCTTCTTGTGAGTTCTGTTTTTTTTTTCTTTCAAATTTTTATTTATCGGGAGCTAATCTCAGCAAATAGTTAGTTTAAATCCCAACCAAAGCGAGATAACAAAAAGTTTGGAAAATCCAAAAGTGCACGCCTCATAATCTCATTTTTTAAAATAAAATTGATTAAAATAAAATATAAAAACAGAAAACACTGCTATGGTTTAGTGGCGCCATAACTGCAAGGTGAGGAAAAAAAATACTATAATAAAATGTATAGATAGAAATACAAAAAAATCCACAGTCATATATTAGTTTTTTATAAATAATAATTTAACGACAGTGAATTGAACGCTCATATTAACTAAGAAATTCTGTCGTGTGTTACTTTAGATAATTCAAAAAAAATTATTCCGGTACGATCATTTTTTCGACCAATTTCCCTGCCACATACACCCATTCATACACGGACGTCCAAAAAAGATAATGTTTAATGTTATTATTTATTATGTTAAACAAAAAAAATTAAAAACAAGTTATTTAGTAAAAATAAAGTAATAATAATAAAGTTAGCCGATATTTTTTTATTTTGCTTAATTTATTAAATTATAACTAAAAAATATTTTTAAAAAATTGCACTTATAGTTTTTAAAGTTTTTAACAAAAGAAAAATTTTTTTTATAATTTTTTAATAAAAAAAATCATAAAAATTTTTAGATGTCAGCTAACTTTATATTCATAATATGTACCAACTTTGCCACTTTTGCACCTATATACCGTTGAATGGAATCATTTAATTTTTTCTATAAGTTAAATAATAATCTAGAGCCATATTCTATTGGTAATATTTACTCTCTCTACAAATTGCTAAGTCAGGTACATGAGTGACTTATATTTATGTTACTACCTTATATATAATAATGTGAATTATTAATACCCCTATATTTTTTTTTTTTTTTATTTTTATATTGCATACTACATACTATATACACCTTTATTTGTCTGGAACCCTGTTATTGGCCATGCTGTTGGGTTCATTGTTTGATAAATAAATAAATAATAAAGTAAACAGGAAACAAACCTCCTTTGCACGGTGTCCGATGCGTAGAATGCTGAGCACGGTACCCAGTAATCATTTCGTAGTCTCCTGAGTCAAGTCTTAAGGGGAAAGTAGTCTCCAAAATATGATCGCAAGGCTCCATTAGCATGAGGATACCTTTGACCTTCTTCCTGCGCTCCTCAATGGTCATTTTAGATCGATGGCCCACATCCTCAACTAGCTTGTCCTCGATAACCTGGCATGATCGGTGGAAGAAGTACTCCACCATGTTAAAGAACTTGGGGTTCTCCGCGACCGGGATGTCCTTAAGTCGGTCAGGAATCTGATGCTCAGCGTACCCCCGGTTTTGGATACTTGTCACTGGGACAGCGCGCGTCAGAGCACCGGCTAAGTCACCATTTAATTTTGGAGTTTGTTTCCCTTTAAGACACCCAGCTCTCGTTCTCACCAGCTTATTTAGGTGAAACATTTTCCTAAAAATTAAAAATAAAAAATAATTTTATCCGTTTATTTTTTATCAAGTTAAGTTTTTTTTTACAAGTTAATTTTTTTCGCACTTAAAATTATAAATAAAATTAAAACGATACTAAACCTGCAATAGATTACCGAGTACTGAGTGTAATGTGTACTACTATAAACTTTAGTACTTTGTATAGGTATATGTATATATATTTATGTAATTGTAGATATTTATTTTAATATGTAGCTATTAAAAGCGCTTCAAGCTTCAGCGGTTTCAGTGTTGAGACCGAGGAAAGCCAACTGACGCCTCACACGTTTTAACTCAGTAGTCCCACGCGTCCCACGTAGGCTAGACTTGAACTACTATTTTAGAGATTGGAAAAAGATGATTTTTTGAATTTCTATTCACTAATACATACTAACATACTGTCACATGTACTTTTTTATCTCTTTCGTTTGTCATCCGATCTTTTGATGTCATCGGTAATAAAAGTTTCTGTAGCTTATAATCCTTGGAGCTGTCAAAATTAAAATATAGATGGCGTTGGGAATTCTCTTAATATAATTTTAAAACCCTGGAAAAAGTTTGAACTGTCAAAATAATAGTAAAGTTAGCCGACATTTTTTAGATTTTGCTTCATTTATTGAATTAAAACTAAAAAATATTTTTTAAAAATTGCACTTACAGTTTTTTTAATTTTTTATCATAAATTTTTTTTTTTGTAATAATTTTTTCAATAAAAAAAATTCTAAAAATTTTTTTTAAATATCGGCTGACTTAATTTTCATACTGTCAAAGTGATTTTTTACGCTACATATTGTCACACTTTTTATAAAAATTTTATGACATTAAAGTTAACAGCCACTTGATAATTTTTTATGACATTGAAGTTAGCAGTCACTAGAGAATTTTTTAATAAAAAAATTTGCTCCAAAAAACTATTTTTAAAAAATTGCATTTTTAATTTTTCAAAATTTCTACATGTCATTTTTTTTTGCCATAATTTATTTATTAAAAAAATTTTAAAAATTATTAAATATCTGCTAAATTAATTTTCATAAAAATGTTTTTTATATTTTTAAGACAATAAAAAATACACTAATTATATTTATTTAAAAAAAGAAGAAATTAAAAACTCATTAAGGTAAAAAACATTAAATATAATTACAGCAGTAAAATAACACTCGATGATTTTCGGACTAGCCCCACCATCCAGGCAAAGACAAAATGGACACCGATAACGTGACTCGGAAACGTCCGAGTCTACCCGAAGATTATCTTCGTAGCACCTTCGAGTTTCGCAGTACTGGATGTACTGTCTGTTGTCTGTTGACTTCAGACTTCAGTTCTGTGTAATAATCTTCAGCAAGCATCACATATTTATACACAATCATACATCTAAATCTATTATTGACTGTTTTAAAGTTACAGCTATCTGTAAATTTTATTTTTACATTATACATACACACATTTTTTTAATTGTATATTATTTAAAATATTCACCATATACTACATATATATTTAGATATACCTATATATATATCTACAAGTTAACAATATGTCTGATAGTCCTGTTGTCAATCAAATCCAACATTATCAAAGAAGTATCGAAAAATACCCCGATGATGAGCAGAGGGTGGGTTTATTTATTTATTTATTTATTTATTCTTTATTCAACCATTATTTATCTATTTTATTTTTATTTAGGTATAATATTGAAAAAAAAAAAAATATTCCCACAGATAACCTAAAAGACAGAAATTTTAATTGAACGGAATTTTCCTTTCCGTAAATTTATTTTTTTAATAAATTGTTGATGAAAAATTAAACAAATAAACGAATGTTATTATTTTATTCTAATGAATTTAAAATGAAAAATTTTTATGATTAACTATTTAATAAATAATAATCGATTACCATCTGTTGAGTTTTGGAAAAAATTCAGTCGATTGTTAAGTTGATAAATTCTAAATTGTTTTAATTTTTAAAGTTAATGGAACCTAAAAATTAATATCATTAAAGTTAGAAGTTACTTGACCATATTTTTATTTTTTTTTAACAAACAAATTTGTTCCAAAAAATATTTTTCAAAAATTGCATCTTTAATATTTTTAAATTTCTACATGTCAATTTTTTTTTTTTTTTAATTTTTTTGCAATAATTTATTTGTCACTAAAATTATTAAAAATCACCAAAATTACTTAAGAATTTTTGTAACAAATAAATTGTAGCAAAAAAAATTGACAAGTAGAAATTAAAAAATTTTTTTTTTTTTTTGAATTTTTTTGCAATAATTTATTTGTCACTAAAATTATTAAAAATCACCAAAATTACTTAAGAATTTTTGTAACAAATAAATTGTAGCAAAAAAAATTGACAAGTAGAAATTAAAAAATTTTTATAATACAATTTTTAAAAAATAATTTTTTGGAGCAAATTTGTTTGTTAAAAAGTGACATTCAACTTAGCTGTCACTTAACAATTTTTAAATTTTATTTAACTAAAAGATTTGTTCCGAATAATTAATTTAAAAATGCATTTTTAATTGCATAATTAATTGGATTTTTAATTTTTTTAAATTTCTAGATGTCAATTTTTTTTTTTTTTGCCGTAATTTATACGTTAATAAATTTTCAAAATAATAAAATATATGCTATATTAATTTTCATTGTTAAAAAAAATTAAAATATGGTCAAGTAACAGCTATTTTTAATGTCATTTAATTTTAATAATAACATTTTCGTAGCTTCTGAGATGCATAAGAAAGTTACACGAATTGCCAGTGACAGTGCAGCATCTCCAGGAAACGGGAGTAGGAAGGACAATTAACGCGCTCCGGAAGTACGATAAAAGTGTTGGAGATGCTTCTAAGGCCTTGGTTGCTAAATGGAAGAATATGGTTGTCGATGAGGACAGCAGTGAAGGCGATTATGAGGACGATAATTGTGCTCCAGATGTTTCTGGGGGTTACAGTGATAACTCCGATTCGGGAGTTGACAAGGATGAAAATCTTACTCTTAATTCATCCAGGTAATTTTTAATTTTAAATTAAATTTTTTATAAGCTCATAGAAAATTTATAAACAAAAAAAAAATACGTAATAAGAATCAGGTGAAAAGACCATCAATAAATTTTAACAGACAAATTGATACAAACTAATATAAAGTCAATCATATTACTGATCCGTAAACATCAGCAACTATTAACAAATAAAATTGCAAGCAATAAAAAATTGCCTCGAGTACTTTGTCAAAACATAGTCATACCAATAATTATTACAAAAAAATGCTGAAGTACAGCAATACATGTGTACAAAATTATCAACGTCAACCAATTTATAAATACGTTTCGACGTTTCGTCGGTTCACTGACTCACTGATTCTTATTACATATGTATTATATCTCAAGACCTGAAGTTTTATTATGGATTAAAAAAAAAAATTTTTATAAATTAATTACAGCCATAAATTAAGTGAGTCACGTGAGCGTTATAATAATAATTCTCAAGATGAATCAAGATCTTCCAAAAATCTGTCAAACAATTCTTCTTCAGAACTATCACGATCTAAATCAACCAGCAGGTCAAATGGCAACAGTGATGATAATAATAGACACCACTCAAAATCATCGTCATTGTCATTGAATCATCAAAATAAATCAGAAGACTCAAACACGAGACAGGAGTCGCGTGAAAAAAAATCAAAGAGCTCGCGGGAGTCTGGTAGTAAAAGTGATAGGCATAAAGATAGTTCTAAGAGAGACGAGAATGTAAATTATAGTAGTAATAGTAGTAGCAGTAGTAGTAAGACTAAAAAAGATAAGGAGTCAAAAGTTTCCTCTATCGAGTATGCCAAGCACAATGGCACCAGCAGTGATCGCAAACGTAAGCGCGACGGACTGGCGAACGACAAGCACGAGCATAAACGCCGAAGGAGTGGAGAAGTGCCGGATGAGTCAGAAGAAGACGGGAAAAGTGTCGATGATACCAATGAAATTAAAAATGAAACGTCTGATAGTGAGTGTGATAAGATTAAAATTAAGTCAGAGTCACCTGAACCACGACAAAGTTCGAGCAAAGATGTTACGGTGAAGAAAAAAAATTCTAAGGACAAGACTGCTGACTGTATTGATAAAGTTAAAGAAGAAAAACATAAACATTCTAGTTCAAGCAGCAAACATAAAGTCAAAAGTGATAGCAAGTCTTCCGAAAGTCGTAAACACGAACAAAAAAAAGATGAGTCTAGCTCGAAATCTCGCAGTCACTCTTCTAGTTCTAAGGACACTGATAAAAGTAAACAGGGTGAGAAAAATAAAGATAAAAAGTCTGATAAGAACAAGGAGAAGAGCAAAGACAAGAAACATAAAGAGAAAAAAATTAAAATTAATGACAAAGAGGGAATTGATTGTAATTCTGGTAATTTTTTTTTTTTTTTTTTTATTATTATTATTTAAGGTAAAAAACCCAGTTATTGAAATTATTATATAGAAATAGAAATATTTTTTATTTATTTATTCAAGTATTTTGAGAGATACAATCTCTGTATACATAGTTTAAGAGATCTAGTTTACAAATTTAGTCTTTGGTTAAATATAAATTATAAAAAATAACACATCTTATACATCAAATTGGTAAAATTAAAAAATATAGAACAATTAAGTTAAACATAATGTAACTGACATTATTATATTGTTTATAGTTATATTGTTTTTAATTAATTAATTATATTGTTTATAATTAAAAAAATTAAATGTTCTCAAAAAACCAATTTTCTTAAAATTTATAATTCAAAAATTATATTTATTAATTTATTAGAGTTAATTTTAATTTTTTTTTTAAATAAAATTGCAAGTGTCAATAACTGGGTTTTTTACTTAATTATTTTTTTAGTGGTTTGATTGTTTCAATAATTAATTTGTTACTTTTTAGGAGCGAGCTTTGCTGAAGCTTTGGGTATGTGTACGGCGTCAACGTCATCCTCACGTAAGAAAATAATTTCGCCGAGCATATCTAAAAGTATAAAATCAGAAGCTAGTACCTCGTCACATAAATCTAGTAAAATAAAGACTGAACCGTTATCGCCTAAAGAAGATCAAGTGAGTTTTCTGAATTAATTTTAAATTAATAATGAAACATTATAAATGAATTATATTAATTATAACTTTTCATTTTTTAGTCACTTTCGTTATTATCGCCAAGTATCAAATTAGAGCCATTAAGTGTCGATCTAGCGTCAACATTACCAGAAATAAGTCCTAATTACAAACCATTACCAGTAAATCACATGAATCCGCTTTACCGTAAAACGGATGAAGCAAGAGATGAAGAAGAAGCAGTTAAGCAAGCTAGAGCATTTAAGGCAGGTGTTTCCGCTACATATTCAAAGTAAGTATTTAGTTTATTAATTAAGAAATGACCTTGTATCTTGAGAACTATTGACATTTTTTAAGATATAAGCTCATCCCGATGTTACACTCATCGAGACCTTTCATTTGAGTACCCACATCAATTTTTCATATATTTATATATATGTATATATGAAAAATATATCAAAAATGCATGTGGGTACTCAAATGAAAGCTCTTGATAAGTGTAACATCGGGATGAGCTTATATCCTTAAAAACGTCAATATTTAAGAAAGTGACTGCAAAATTACTAGTTATAATATTAATTGGATTTCAATTAGCAAGTTGTTTAAAATTAATGGAAATTTTCAATTTTTTTTTAAAGAACCAAAGTCTACTCTGGTAACAAATTAGGATCAAATCTCAAAAGCCCCCCGTCTCTCTATGAACTGTGCATCCGCGTACTGATAGATAACATTGATGCTGTGGAAAATACCGGCGGGGTACCTTATTACATTTTGGAACCCATGCTGAGACGAGCCACTCCCGAACAACTGTATCACATTGAGTACTACAACCCCCACTTAATTGAGGACACCCAGCCTCTGTGGAACGAACATTGCAATCGCGAATTCCGGAAGGCACAGCCTCAAGAAATGGAGTCATGGCGGGAAATGTACATTGTAAGTTTAATTTATTTTTTATTTCACAAAAGTAACACGTAGTTTTTATTTAAACATTATCAAAGTAATACAGAGTAAAAAAATACAAAAGTTAAATTATAAATATTAATATTATGGAATCATTGAGATTGTTTTATTTTATATATAAATATAAATTAATACAGTACTTATTAAATATTAAGTTTTTCTATTATTAAATATAATAGACGTTTGATATTAGATTAATTTATCAACTATATTATGATATATTTTTTTCTATTGAAACATTTATGATATAATTTATCAAATATTTAATAAAAATCAATCACTTACACTCGTGGTAACAGATAAAATAATTAAGTATGAAGAACTACAATAGTTTATAACTATTTAAACTTAGATAATAATTTATTATTTATAAATAGCCGCTATAAAGTAAACGTCTCAGAAATTCATTAGATAAAAATTTAAAATTTTCAACTGATGAATTTTTTTTAATCAAAAGATTATAAGAGAAAAGACCCTATTAGTGGCAGCACTTTTTCTTTCAATAAAAAAATTTTCCTACTTGGAATAGAAATTAAAAATTTTTTTGATCTACACCAACTAAGAAATTTTTATTTGGTTTAAGTAAAATCAAAGAAAGTGTCAGTAATAATATCCCCGCCACTAATGGGGTCTTTTACCTTCTATCTAAGATAAGAAGTTAATTATTCTGATATGAAAATTAAACTTTCTAGCGTCTAATCTTCCAACAAAAAAAAAAATAATTATTGACAGGTAGCGCAGAGATAAAGTATGTCCTTTTTATTGTTGAACTCTACAATAGTAGAAGCCGACAAGTACTTGTCATGAACCCAGACCTCGCACAAATTACACTGGACATACATAACTCCACTTTTGCAGATCTTACAAGTTTTCTCGTTGTGTTCCACCTCGGACTTTTTATTTCTGAGCCTCGTGGACTGCCTCGTCCTCTTGGGAGTATTCTTCACCTCCTTGGCCACGAAATCCTTATCGTTGTCTCGATTATCATCATTAGTGTCTTTTTTCTTTCCTACGCTGCCTTTCTTCCTTCCTCTTCTTTCAACTTTTGTCATCCTGCTTTTGGAGTCTTCTAAATTTTTAATCTCTTCTTCTTCTTCTTCTTCTTCAACTTCTGTCGCAACAGTTGCATCAACCTCCTCTCTTCTATCACTAAAATCTATAACCTGGGTGCTGCATCCCGGCTTAGCTTCCAAGTTACTGTTACTTTCCTGCTCAACATTGACAACATTAATAACAGGCGTAATTTCAACAGGACTAACTGAAACTACTCCAGAATTAGTTCCCATTTTTAACAAATCATGGTGAGTTAATTTCAAGTCATCCAAAATAGTTTTAAAGTTGTCTAAAAACGTGTCGACATTAAGCTCTTCAATATTTCCAGCTCCCACTCCTGCTCCAGTTCCACTTGTAGGATACGAGCACTCAACAATATTATTAGGCAATTGTTTGCAGTGACTTCGACGCTTAACATTTAGCCCTTGATGTCTGCGTAAAAAAGCAGACAACCATTCCGGGCCTGCCATTTTATTATTTGACCAAGAAGAAGGATATTTTATTCCCAAACTGACAGCATATTCGTACGCGAATTTTCTCAGCTGTCGCCCGGTCAATTCTTCATGATAATTACCTTCTGAATTAGAATTAGAATTAATCCGTGACTGATTAATGAAACTGATGAGATCATGCTCTTGTTGGAATGAAAATACTTTTTTCATCGCCTCGTACCCGACATTTATTTTAACCAAGTCGTCGTTCTTCAGATCCTCGATCTCAATTTTGGAGCAGAATCTCACTAGGGTAGTTCGCGGGATCCCGTAATTATTAGCGACACTGCGGTTAGACTTTTTAAGCAGGAGCACTTCCTTGGCAGCCTGGATCATCACTGTCTTGGGAATGAGGCCTCGCTCGGTTTTTCTCTTGTAGTTACGCATTTTGTTGTCGATTTAGGCTTACTATTTTATTCGTCACTACTGTTTGTATTTACTTAAATTCTAGTCACTGATTAGTCATTTTTTTTTTATTTACTTGCGATTATATAATTAGATTGGGGTATTATCGGGTAAATAGTCAATAATTTTACGCTAAGGTTTGTAGTGACAATTGTTTTATGGTTGGGACGGTTGAGGTTAGGGTTTAAAAATTATTTTTTACGTTTTTCTTACAGCGCCACGTGGCGCTAAATTTTTTACCCATTTGAATTATATATTTTTTTTTATTTATTATTTATAATTAATTTTTTTTTATAAATTAGTTCAGTATTTATGAAAATTAAATTTTCCAACATTTGAAAATTTTTATAATTTTTTATGTTAAAAAAAAATTAAAAGAAAAAATTTCACATGTAGAGGATTTTAAAAAACATAAGTGCCATTTTTTTAAGTATTTTTTTACTCGCAATTTAATTGTTGATTCATTTATTTATTTATTTATAACAAACATTGAACCCAACAGCAGAGCCATTAACAGGGTTCCTTAATTATAATCATTATCATAGTATCCCGTGTACAAATCATCTGATATCATGATGAGATTCATTATGAATATCATAATGAATCTCATATTTTGACACAAATATGAGATTTATATAAAAGCCATATCAATATTCATTTGAAACACGTAATAAGTAAAATACTTAGGTGAACAAATTTTTTTTTAATTAGATGAGTAAAATTTTCATTTTTTTTGTTAATCAGAGGAAAAGTATAATAATTGAGAAACAGTATTTTTGTCATGCACTATACTGTTGAATTACTTACTTTCTTTCTTGATTTTCTTGACTTAGAAGAATATTTAGAAAAACACTATCTTGGTTAAAAAAAAATTTTTGACTGAAAATTTTTTCCTCTTAAGATAATTATTTATTATTTTGAAAACAATTTAAATCCTCCTAAAAATTTTTTTAATTTAATTAATTTGTATTATTTCCTTTATATAGTTGTGACTCAATAATTTTATATAACGATTTAAGAAACTTAACAATATCACTATGACATCATTATGATTTTATGCAGATATGACCATCACTTTATTATGAATAATACAAAAATTCTTCTATGTCGGCTAACTTTAGTATCATCAGTATTTAATTAAATAAATTAATTGTATACTTGAAAGAAAAAAAATTAATTATTTTTTTAGCGATGTATAGAAGAAAGAGAAGCTAGATTGAACATGATAACCGGACAGGTAAAAATAAGAGCTCAGGATAAAGAAAGAGAAAAAAAATCAACAAAACTGGCTTATGTCGATGAATTTGTAAAACCGCCGAGAAACATACTAAAAAAACAAGCGAGGTATGGAACATCATCTGCGACTTCTTCTTCAGATATGAAGAAAAAAATGATTCTAACAACAGGAAATAATGCTCCTACTGACATTACCGTCCCACCGCCTCCGATGTCTCGTGCCAAATCATCCAGTGAGTATTGTAGACTTAATTACAAGTATTTTAATATTTTTATAAATTTATTTATTAAACTAATTCAATTTTTCAGCATCAGGAGTAGTAAAAAAAAACAAGGCTCCTTTAATGGCAAAAGCTCTGCAGTTAATAAAAGGAAGATACAAGCGATAAATTATAAATTAGTTATTTGCTAAAATTAACTAGAAAAAAAAGTATACATAGACTTGGTTATTGTCAACCAAAATCAATTCAAGAATATAATTTAATATTTTATTTTGTTTCATCACGCATCAATGTAATTTTTTTTTTTTTTTTTTTTTTTGTCAAGTTGTCATATGAAAGAAAAATTAATTATTAAGAAGGCTTTAAATTGCATCACATAAAAAAAGGAATTTGCAAAGAAATTTTAAATAGTTTATTTATTTTACGACTGATAATTTTAATTTTTATTAAACTCAGTATCTTTTATGTGACAATTAAATTTCTTTTAAATTTTTTTTTATCAATACAGTGTATATAACAGTAAGACCTTTCAATGAACTAATTAGGTAATTTATAACGATTAATTATGTACTGATTCGTACAGTGAATTAATAATCATCTTACACCTTTGCTATAAATTTATTTAGCATTGTAAATTTTTTTTTCTTGATCACTGAAACATAAAGAGTCCATGTATTTTTTTAATTGAATTAAACTGCATTACGATCCTTAGAAAAAAATTATAAATATAGAATAATAATAATAAAAATAATCGTATAAATAGGTTTTAATTGACTCGATAATTGTGAGATTCCTGAGGTATCTTTTACTCACTCAAAAAAAAGTTATGTACGCAGAATAACGTTACTACATTGGTTATTTACTTAATATATAATAAAATCAAAAATAATAAACGAAAAATAATTAATTAATTGATAAATATAAAAATTAACAATTTTACCAAAATAAATACCTCAATTAATGTGATATTATTTTTTTCTGTTTATCACTGTAATTTCATCACATGTGATAATTTTTTTTTTTCTGTAATTCGATCACATAATTGTACAGTAGTTACGTAAAGTAAAGTTTTTTAAATAAAACTCGTAGCATTTGGTGTTGATAAGTAATTGTCAAAAAAAAAATATAAAATATAAAATATAAAACTTAACGTTAAAAATGTAATTTATTTATTATAAAATATTTTTGCTTGTATTCAGAAAAATAAATAAACTCAATTAAAAAAATTTGCTTATTTATTTCAATCAAATATATCTACATGTTATGAAATCATTTTAATAATTACAATATGGGGAGAGGAACATTTATTTTACATATACCTGATTACATGAATTACCAAAAACTAATTACAATTTTTTATTAAAAAATATCAACTACTTATCTATCGTATTTTATTTAAAATAATAATTACTAATTATGAACACAGCTTTATGGTTTACCAAATAATTCCATTAAAAAAAAATTTAATTATTCGCTTACAATACTGTGATTTTCCACAGCCAGCACAGTGTTGAAAGGACTAAATATGAAGTATAACATTTATATTGATCACCTTTCATTATTGAGTATCTTAATTAAATAACAACAAAATTATAAGCTAAAATATTAGTTATAATTATTTCAGATCGTCGACTTTGATCGTTATTTCTTAACTAATAATAAAATTTGTTTCTGTTTCAAATATACAAAAGTAATTCCTTATCTTTTCATCGGATGTAAAAAATTTTTCACAAGTCATAGAAAATTAATTAAATGATTGTATCCGATAAAAAAAAAAAAAAAACCGGTCGAGACTTTTTAGAGAGACGTATTAAAAAAAAATATTTATCAATTTTTTATGCAGTAACGACGCACATCGGTGAATTATTTCTTGGATTAAATCGTAATGTTAAAATTGCTTTACCATTTGACTGTAATACTTGCACCGCTGGAATATCTATCTCAGACGTTGATTGCATTGGTATGCTGTAATAAATTAAATAAACAATAATTTAATTTTTTTTTTCAACAAAATAAATTATTTCTTATCATTAAAATTCTTACCTAATACCATTATTAGTAGCTATTTTGGCAGACCATAATCTAACAGTACCATTCATGTCCCCACTGACGATAAACTGGCCATCGGGACTCCAGTCTAAATTCATTATCGTACCTTCATGACCCTTCAGTTCATTCAAAAGACCGTCTGTCGCTAAATCCCAAATTAATACCGTTTTGTCATCGCCTGAAATACAAACACTTTATGTACTTACTTGTTAAACTAAATACGGACTTATTACTATTACTATTACTTATAAGTACTATTATTAAACATAATGTAACTGTTATTTTTTTCTGTCATTTTTTAATGGAACCCGCTTAATGGCTTTGCTGTAAGGTTCAGTGTATATTGTTTAAAAATAAAATAAAATATAATTATAAATTTTAAATAATTAAAATTATATCTACCAGCAGCAGCGAGATATTTTCCATCTGGACTAAAGGCTAGACAATAAATAGTTGACTGAACACCTGGATAAGATCTCAACGCTTCGCCGTTTTCTTTACTCCATAACTTAACCGATTTGTCAGCAGAACCCGTTGCCAAATAATTTCCATTTGGGTGGAATTTAATTGAATTTATATCCATATAATGACCGGCAAATATCCTAACTGGAAATTTTCTATCCAGAGTCCATAACTTGGCCGTACGGTCATGCGAGCCCGTTGCAATATACGTGTCGTCTAAGCTCGTATCCATACACCAAATTGGATAATTATGGCCGCTTAAAAATTCATTATTTTTAATAACCAAAATTATTATTAATTTTGAAAATTAGTTTTAATTTTAAATAAAAAAAAATTACTTATAAGTTCCAATACAACTGTAGTTAACCATACTCCACGCTCTCATATCATTATCACTTGATACTGAGAGAAGAATTTCCGAATCATGGATAAATCTCATGTCGTGGACAGCATCTGTATGTCCACGCAAAACTACTGCACCTGAAGATTCTCTGTAATAAAAAATTTAATAATTAATATGCATTGCTAAAAATAAAATTTAAAATTAAAAATAAGCATACACTTCAACATCATTGTTATCAATATTGATATCAATTTCACTTCCACAAATGATTTTTTTCATTGGAGGCTTAGACAATGGCCTCATTAATCTTGTGCTTCCCATTGGCCATAGTCTGATAGTATTTTCGTTAAAACCTACGGCAAATTTATCCATTTTATTGGGTATTGTTGCGCAGCTACCTCTGAAAAATTATTTATTATTATTAACAATCCAGAGTTGACATTGTAATACTCATATAAATTTCCACATTGTAAACATTATAAACAATTTTCAATTAAAAATACATAAACATTAAAGTAAAAAATTTCATAATAAGATGATAAAAAAGAAAAAGAAAAAACATGATCAATTATCAATAATAATCTAAGAACTATACCTTATTAAAAAAAAAGATTTAAAACGATTCAACCTATGCAAAATGTATATCTATATTAGGGCGGCGCAAAAAAACCGAATATTTTTTTTTTTGAGTCTCGAGTGAAAAAATAACAGTTTTTGATGTTTTAAGAGCCCTCTTCAAAGAACAGCTCAAAAAAAAATTTTTAAGAAGTCGCTCCAAATTTTTTTAAATTTCAAAAATCGTCAAAAATCGAAATTTTTTTTTTTTTAATTTTTTTTTCTCGTTACGTCATAATTTTATAGACCAAAAAAATAAGTTCCTGAAAGTTTCAATTCAAAATTTAAATTTTGAAAGGTCGCTCATAATTTTTTTTAAATTTCAGAGTCAAAAAATGCTAATCCAATTAAATAGTCACTAATAAATTAAAAAAAAAAAAATTAAACTTACTTCTCAATAGAATTTCCAATACGAAATATTTTCAAAGGTTTATACGGATTATTATTTAACCCTCTAATGACTTCCAACAATTCTCTCATCTCTCTATCCGTTCCAGTACCAGCATTCTGTTCCATATGGCCATTGATATTGATATCTCCAAACTTGGAACCACTGTCATTTTCTTCTTCTTCTTCCATCATGTTCTCTATTTTTATATTTATTGTGACGTGTATATTAATTATCTAAAACACACAGAATTAAATAATCTGTTTTTGAGTGTAGATAATAAAAAAAAAAAAAATAAACAGTACCTGCATGATAATAACATGACCATGTTTAGCCAAATATTTCTGTAATGCATTGTGAGATTCATCAGACATGTCAACTCTATACTTTCTGATTTTAAACGCATTAACAATTGGCTTAGACTCAGCATCCTGTATCGAAAACACACAGGATAATTCGTCGAGAAAATTTTTTTCTTTACACGTAATAAAGTCACTTCGATTGCTGTTAAAGAATTCAATAGCCGCCTGCAAATTTCCCGCGTGCAGCATCTCTAGGTACAAGTGACAGAAAATTGGATACAGAAGATTCATTAGGTCTTCTTGAACTGTCTCATCATTTATTAAATTTATCCATGCCCGTAGTCTGTAATTATCATATTACTATATTAAATAAAAACAAATTTATATAATTTTTTATGATTAAAAAACAATCTTACTTTTTATACGCCTGGTCAGCAGCAGTAACGTCGTTGGTAATCGCACTAAAAATAATTGAATTTTTAGTCGATGTTGCTGACTGTGCCATTTCACGTAACAATGATTCTTCACTAGTTATTGTTTTATTGTGGTCCGATTTATTGAAAATATCAATATCCTGAAAAATAATTAAAAGATTTATTAATTAATCTATTGAAAAAATATTAAAGTAGTTGATAAATAAATAAATGAAAGGACATGTCTGTTCAATAAAAATTAAGTTAGCCGACATGTAAAAATTTTTAGAATTTTTTTTTCATTGAAAAAATTATTATAAAAAAACAAAAAAAAATTTATTTGTAAAAAACTGTAAGTGTAATTTTTAAAAAATATTTTTTTGTTCCAATTTCATTGATGAAAAAAAAAATCAAAAAATTAAAAACGTTGGCTTACTTAATTTTCATGTCTATTCATACGTAAATACGACATTAAAAATTATTTTAGAATTTTATAATAATTAAAATATTATAAAAAAAATTCAATTGAAAAATTCCACATGTGCAAATTGATAAAAATGACAAGTGCCAATTTTTAGAAGCATTTTTTTTTTTTGTAATTGATTTATTTAAATTTTTAAAATTGACAGCTGACGGCGAACTTCAGTATTATAAAAAAGACTTGATAAATGCACGCTGCGTGAATATAAGGACCTTAAATCCACGCTGCGTAGATTTATCAAGTTTTTTTTTCTTCTTAAATAAAAATATTGTAGGCAAAGAAGGTTAACTTTTCATTGTTGCTCACAGGGAATATGTTTATAAACTTTAATAAATAAAATAAAATAAAATAAATAATTACCTGATAACCACGACGTTTTAAATACGATTCAACAGTTGAATTGATAATGTCAATTTTTGAACGTTTCATTTTCATTAGATCACGTGTTTTATGTTTTGTTTACAATTTTGAACAATACATTCGGCGAGCGGGTCGGAGTTTTGTAATTATGCTTTTGTTGTTCTTTTTTTTTTTTTTTTTTATTGTTTTCTGGAAATCTTGTCATTGGCTGAGCATGAGATGACAGTGAGCATGTTCAGCTGAACTTTAGTTCGGTTGAACAAGCTCAGTTTCAATTAAAGTTGTGGCGCTACTTTTAGTTTCTTATCCCGCGCAATTTTTTAAATTATCACCAAAATAAATAAATTAACTCGTAAAAATAATAATAATAATAATAATAATAACTTCTGTATCTGGCAAAATATCTAATTGTTTTTTTTTTCACACAAATTCATAAAAAAGTCTTGAAGTTTTTTTCTAAAGTTTTAAATGTTAAATATAATAAATTATTTAATAGAAATTTTTATTACAAGATGGCAATACATGTGTAATTTATTTGACAAAAGTACACAAAAAAAATTATTTATAAACCAAATATATTTTTAAACATCTAAAATTATATAAATTTCAATATCAAAAAATTACAAAAATAAATTATCTAAGAAGAAATAAATTATTAACATATTAAAGCATGTGAGTGTAGAGGAAAAGTTTCTAGCATTTTCCTTTCACAAAAAATGTCGTGGGTGTAAGTGCACACATGTATAAATATGTAATACTCGCTACGCGCTTACATATTACAACACCCACACAGTGAGTGCATATGTCTCTTAGAGTACATGTGTGTTAGATTATATTAAAGCTAGTGTAGAAGACTTCAATAGCCAGTTAATACCAAGAAGTCATTACCTACTAAATTTATTGTGTTTTATTTTGGTATTTTCTATGTCTGGTAATCACCGATACTATCATTACAACAGTAATTATTATCTAAGAATAAATTAAAGTTATCAATATGCCCTAACCGGTAAATTATTTTATAAAAACCACTTAATCAATGGAATTTTAATTAGTTTTATTTATAATTCTAGATTATCGTTAATTTTACCTTTATTAGGTATTTTCATTATCCAGTGTCTTATTCAAAAATACGTAAATCCCGATAAAATTTCAAAACGGTAAGTTGATAAATAACATAAAGATATTTATTTACATTTTATCAAAAGTATTTAATATCTTAACCTTTAATTTGACATGATATTACATACAATAAGTAAATAGTATTTTTGTTTCAGGTGACCTTGAATACTTGAAGAAATTCTGGGCTTTATTTTCGATTATTTCTAGTATTAAAAGATTAAAAATGCCATCAACTTGTGGGGACATACAAGAAATTTCAGGTAATAGTTATTTACATTATATTTTGATAAGTGTTGGTTGTAAATGCATATGTTAGATTGTGAAATTTTTATTCATTTTCGAAATGGAAAAGGTTTGTTAATTAAATATTTAAATTTAATTTTCCTCAAAATTATACGTCATTAAAGTTAGCAGTCACTTCATAATTTTTTAATTTTATTTAACAAAAAAATTTCTTCCAAAAAATTAATTTAAAAAAATTGCATTTTTTTATTTTTTAAAATTTCTACATCCCAATTTTTTTTTGCACTAATTTATTTCTTAAAAAAATTCTAAAATTTATCAAATATCTGCTACTTTAATTTTCATCAAAATTATCCGTGTTTACTTATATATTTATATTTACTCATTTATTTGTCACTAGCTGTTACTAGCTGTTACTTATAGAATTGCATTTTTAGATCTAGACTTGAAATTCAATTAGAATATTGTTTTGACTTGCAGAGATTCCCAATTCAATCGAATTGGCATGCACTTTTTCTCCATGTAATTATTTTAGCTAATATTCATTGTAACTTTCAATGTGCAATCATTATAACATTCCCGTGTCTTTCTTACAAAAATCAATAATAAGTGATATGAAAAAAAAAAAAATGTTTAATGAGCATTGAAAGTTTCAGTTAAAGAAATTGCAGGTCTCATAAGTGAAAAAATCTGGCTAGTATTTAAACATAACAAATAGAATTAAAAAATTTATTTTTAACAAATGATAATCGAATAGAATAAATTTAGTTACAATAAAAAAATGAAAATGAAGTTAACCGACATTTTAAAACTTTTAGAAATTTTTTATTGAAAAAATTTCAATTTAACAATTAAAAAAAAAATGTCACATCTAAAAAACTTTAAAAACTAGAAGTGCAATTTTTTAGAAATATCTTTTTAGTTGTAATTTATTTAATAAAAAAAATTAAAAATTTTTAGACGTCTGCTAACTTCAGTGTCATATAAAAAATCATTATTTCTAAGTCAAATCACCACCATATCATATATTAAAACCTCCGAAACACGCTGCATCTTATGGTATAAGTATTATTTTGATCGGTTCAGTAGTTTTCACAGTATAACCGGACAAAAAAACCGGCTTCTCCATTTATTAGTATATATAGATATAAAGTAGTGTGTTAAACTAAATTGATACCAAAAATCTTAATATAATAAATATATAAAGTAGTGTATTAACAATGAATACATATTATGATCTATCTGATTCTAAAAAATATATGAAAACGTTTTTCTTCACGTATTTCCCCCCTTAATACCTAAGGAAAAAAGAAAAAGAGATGTATTAAGGCTCCGTATAGGCTACGTTATTTTACTAACAATGTTAAAAGAGCAATAAAAAAAAATGTTTGCAGTAGCATCACCACACGCAGCAGTAATCGACGGACAATCAAGTACAGACAGCGTAGGAACACACAGTGATGTTTCAGGCAATACGACGATATCAACAAAACCAAAGATCCAGGTTGTCTGTGTGATCGACTTGACCCAGCCGGAGAATCTCAGTGACCGAAAGCGTGCATTGGAGGAAATAAAGCAAGCATGTTCTTTAGTAAACACCAGTTTCAATATGGTCCAGTTCGAGAAACTGGACTTTGGAGAGACAAATGTCTTGGATTTGTTCTACAACGCGGACGTAGTGGTGGTCGACCTGAGTATCAGAGACCAGCAGTCGGCTCTTTTTTACCACCTTGGAGTGCGAGAGAGTTTTGGAATGAAAGAGAACATAATGCTCTTCAACGACATCGAGTCTGAGGCGACTGTACGTCTGAAAGTGTCCTGCTGTAATTACACATTCGTTCCTTACCGAGTGCTCGAATGCGGAACCTGTGTCACCACTATGAGCATGAAACCCGCGCGGGCTGGAGAAGAAGTCCTAGATCCAAAGCAGCATCTCACGCTGAGGCTAAAAAAACTCCTCCAAGATGTCGAGGTTCAGTCGAAAGCTCATATGAAGGAAAAGTTTCTCGCCGATTTGCGTAAAGCTCGCGAGAGTTTCTCCGGAGCGGAATTATCGCGTGCAATAAATAATATGCGCAAGCGACTTGACGATCCAAATGTTCTCTCTGGAGAAGTTATTTTAAATATCATGATTTCATACCGCGAGATCCAGGACTACGACGCTATGGTACAGCTCGTTGAAGATCTTTACACGATCCCGAATCACAAAAACTACATCAACACCCCGATGATTACTTATCTGTACAGCTTCGCTCTGAGTCGGCGGAACAAAGAAGGTGATCGCGAACGAGCTGTTAGGATTGTTGAAAAAGCGCTAGAGAAAAAAGAAAACCACGTTCCTGATATGCTATGTCTCTGCGGAAGGATTTACAAAGACAGGTTTGTTTAAATTAATTAATTATGTTTTATAAATCAGGTTCCAGATGCCATAAAAGCAAAATTCTATTTTTTTTTCTAAGTCAAAAAAAATTTTTTCTATAAAGAAAATTGTTTTTTGCATTTCTGCACGTTTCATGAAAAATTACGTCGGTTCCCAAAAAAAATTTTTTTTTGGGTCCCGGGAACCATCAGAGCGTATAATAAAAATTCTATTTTTTTTTTTCTAAGTCCAAAAAAAAATTCTTAGTTGGGAGAAAATTTTTTTTTGCATTTCTGCACATTTCATGAAAAAATAAGTTGATTTCCGAGAAAAAATTTTTTTTGAGAATCGACGTATTTTTTCATGAAATGTGCAGAAATGCAAAAAAAAATTTTTTCCCAACTAAAAACTTTTTTTAAAAAAAAACAATAAAATTTTTATTATGCGCCCTTTTGGTTCCCGGGTGCCATAAGGGCGTATAATTTTCATACGCATCTGTAACGCAAAATATTTTTTATTTATTTATATACTTATACGCCAATCGGTTTTATACATATTGATAATACAAAATTTTGAGAGAAATTAATATAAAAAAATTATAATAGAAGAAAAAAACTAATATGCAAAAGAAAAAGTATTACAAGATGGCTTTTAATTAAGCTAAGAATGTTTTATAGATATTTTTATCTGTTATTATCTGTATTTTTTCAAAACAGGTTCGTTGAAAGCCGTCACAGCGATCAGGAAAGTCTAAAAAATGCTATTCACTGGTACCGCAAAGGTTTTGAAGTTCAGCCTAACGAGTACGCGGGTGTTAATTTGGCGACGTTGCTAGTAATCGCGGGTAATGACTTTAGCAACAGCGAAGAGCTACAACACATTGGGATGGTTTTGAATAATTTAATAGGAAAAAAAGGAAGCTTGTCGAGCCTGAAGGAGTACTGGGATATCGCGACATTCTTTGAAATAAGTGTCCTGGCTCAGGATTATGCAAAAGCACTGCAAGCTGCTGAATGCATGTTCAAATTAAAAGCACCCAATTGGTATTTAAAGTCAACGATTGGAAATATTTCGCTGATTAATAGGTTTAGAAAGAAGAATGAAGAGAGTGAGTCTTCGGCAGAAGAACAGATATTTAGTTTTTGGATGGATTATTTTATCGTAGCTACCGAGAACGATGTTAGCAATTGCATCCGCTTTCCGTTGCTAATTCTAGAGCCGTCGAAAATTCTAATGCCGTCTTACGTTAATGTTAATCTGGGTGCTGAAGAAAAATCTATTCAGATTGTTAATATATGTTTGAATTGTTTGAAAAATAATTGTAAGCAAGTTCACGACTGGCTTTTCACCGCGAATATGATTCGCAGTGTCAGTTTGTACAAACGTGATAAAAGGTGCTTGTTTTTGTACGTCCACGAAAATTCAGACGACTTCCAAATGTTTTTTCCCTCGGAAATCTGCAGGCAGAGGTTCTATGATCTTGTACTGGAGATGACGGTAGACCAAGAGGGAATGGTTACTAATTTGGATTCTTATATGACTGATGGGCAAATCAAGTATGAGTATGAATTAGATGACCAGGGGAAACGTACTGTGCTTGGCAAAGGTACTTATGGAATTGTTTACGCAGCGAGGGATTTAAATACCCAAGTTAGGATCGCTGTTAAAGAAATAAGGGAGAAAAATTTAGGAGATGTACAGCCGTTGCATGAAGAAATAAAATTACACAGTCAACTGAGGCACCGGAATATTGTACAGTACTTGGGCTCGATAAGTGAGGACGGATTTTTTAAAATATTTATGGAACAAGTACCTGGAGGTAATTTTGTTATTATTAATTGATTGTTTAAATGATAAAGTAGGAAAAAATATAATTGTATTGAATAAACAATTAATGCTTGTTATGTCTAGGTAGTTTATCTGCTTTGTTAAGATCTAAATGGGGGCCACTGAAAGAGAACGAATCGACAATATCGTATTACACTAAGCAAATTCTTGAAGGATTGAAATATCTGCACGATCAAAAGATTGTTCACCGTGATATCAAAGGTATTTTCTTATTATCATTTTTATTGTTTGATAAATATTTATATCGCATTACAAATGTCATTTAATTAAATATTATGTGTGGCAAGGAATTTTGTCTTAACGCGAATAATATTTATCGTATAAAAAATTTTTTTAAATAAAAGTTATTAAACACTAGTGTACTCAATATTTAAGCATACAGAAATTAAATTATTAACAAAATACATCAATAAATATAATAATTAAACTGCCACAATAATAATTATCATTCGTTCTCAATTTCATTTTCTTCTACTTGTTTTTGTTTTTCTACCGGGTGAAGATCATCTCTACACCCATAAACATATCAATTAACACAATATTGTCTCTACAATGGACGCAGGAACAAATAAGACTCGCTTCAATATTTATATTTACAATAAAAGTTCGTTATAGAGCTTGCTCATTGAACATATGAACAACCTGAAAATCGATTCATTAGATATCTAATGCTGTAAATTAACTAATATTTTACCTGATGTTGATTAAGTTTGAGAATATAAAGTGCCGAATAATCTCTTAAGATCATTACATAAAAATCTTAAATTGGATTTTTCCAGGTGATAATGTATTAGTAAATACGTACAGTGGCGTTGTTAAAATATCCGACTTTGGAATGTCTAAAAGACTAGCTGGACTTTGTCCAAGTACTGAAACATTTACTGGTACATTGCAATATATGGCGCCGGAAGTTATTGATAAAGGACAACGAGGATATGGTGCACCGGTAATTTAAATATATACAAAATAATATGTCATTTACTAAAAGATTCTATCAGGTATAAATATTATTTTAGGCGGATATATGGTCATTAGGTTGTACAGTAGTAGAAATGGCAACAGGAAAGCCTCCCTTCATTGAGCTTGGATCGCCTCAGGCTGCAGTATTCAAGGTAAACTCGTGGGTGTGGAGTAATTTACTAGATTATATGTTTATATTACATTTACTTAATAATATCAGTCTCTTTCATTGCTGTTGCTAATACTACTACTACTATCATTGTTATTTAGGTGGGATATTACAAGATACATCCGGAAATACCGTCGGAGTTATCAGAGCGAGCTAAAAATTTTATATTACGTTGTTTTGAACCCAATCCTGACGTTAGAGCTCCTGCCTCGGTTCTTTTAGAGGATCCATTTTTATATGAGTAAGTTTTTTTTTTTTTTTTTTTTATTTATTTAATAAATTTTAAACTTAATTTTTTTTACAGAAAGAAAAAAAGTTCACGTTTACCAGCACCACCAGACTTCAGTCGCAGTATTTCGGTACCAGGCGACCGAATTGAACGATTGAATAATAATAACAATAATAATCGTGACAAAATAAACAATAATGTTATTTCAACGCCGCCGATTCAAGCATCACAATCAGATGATAGGTAAATTATTTGTTTTAATTTTATATTCATCATCATAAATGGGAAATTGTTTTGTCTCTATTAACTGGTTTGTGAATTTTATTTTGTTATTTTTTTTTTTTTTTTTTTTTTTGCAAAGCAGACATTAAATCATCAATGTGGCTTAGGTAATGCGATGGTTTGCATGCGATAAATTAATAGCTTAATAATACTACTAGGGTATAAAAATTTTTTTTATACTCTAGTAATAAAATATTCCATAGATTAAAATTTTTAATAACTACTAGCAATTAAGATTAATTCAATAATATTAATAAATAATTTATGGTTGTTATTTATAAATTAAAATATAATTAAAAAAAAAATATATATATATAAGTAGATTAATTGATTAATAAATATTTATAACAACGGTAAAAGTGCAATATACAGCGGAGTGATGACCAAATCAAGTCCATTGAAAGATCGCAGCCCAGCACATCTTCTGTCTCCCATCAGTATTCCTACTGCTTCTTTATCTTTCACCAGGTACAGTGATAAGTAATTTATTAACTTGCTAATTTAATTAGTTGTTTATTTAAATATTTTTTAGTAGTAGTACGACCGCTTTTACTCCTACTTTTTTTACAAGATCTACTTTTAATTATTATAATAATTTTAATTATTATTATCACCAATCAACATATGAATGTTAATTGATCGATAAAATTATTAGTAAATCTTAATTATAAAAAAAAGTAGGTGAAAAATATTAAATAATATTTTAATATAAAAAATTGTATTTAATAATTTATTTATTAAAATAATAACATTAAAACTGTTTGTCGCTTTAATAAATAAAAATAATAATTAAAGCTTAAATTGAGTGTGAAGATTAGATAGATGGGTTACTGGCCTTTGATTGTAATAAACGCTTAAATTGTGTAGTTTGTCTTAGTATTTTTTATTAATTATCAATTATCAATCATTAGTTTTAATGATTATTATAATAACAAAATTAAGTAATGTTTATAAGTAAAGATTGTATATTTTAGCACAATTGGAAGCACGCCATCAATAGACATAAGCGAAGACGCAAGCTGCACTATGACTCGACGGAGTTCATCAGGAGGATTAATGTCGCCGGAAGTAGAATTAACCGGGCAGCCAGAGCAAAAAGGCGTCGGCGATGAGCAAGAGGGATTTTACTTCTATAAAAAAGACAGCCAGCGGCGAATGACTCTCACCAGGGTGTTGACTCAAGACGGAGCTACTCTCTGCAAAGTTTGGTTGGAATATATTAACCGAGACGGCGCGCAGACAGTAATAAATATACCGCATCTGGAGTTATTGCTGCGGGGCTTACGTGATTATATATCTGATCGGAATCAAGATTCAATTACCACGGCATTACGGACACTTAAAGAAGAATTGGCATTTGACTCAACGACAATTAATCAACTACAATTGGCTATTTATTTATTTCAAACTGCTGTTAATGATGTTCTCAGAATGCACAGTATTAAACCTCATTGGATGTTTGCGTTAGATAATCTTGTTAGAAATGCTGTTCAAACTGCTATTACTGTTTTGTCGCCTGGTAATTATGTTTATAATCTATATTATTAAGAGAATAATAAATATTTTGTCTTTAGGATAGTCTCTAGGATATGATAAAATCATTTTTTTTAATGAAATTTAGTTTCATTATAAAGGTTTTGACTTTAATTTGTGCCTTTTCGAGGTTTCATATCATTCTCACTGATAGTCAATTTATGATGATAAGTATTTAGGCTGCAATGGAAAATTCTCTATCTCTAGATACATAATTAAGAAATGACCTTGTATCTTGTGAACTATTGACATTTTTAAAAATATAAGCTCACTCCGACATTACACTCATCGAGACCTTTCATTTGAGTACCCACATCAATTTTTCATATATTTATATATGTTATATATATATGTATATATGAAAAATATATCAAAATGCATGTGGGTACTCAAATGAAAGCTCTTGATTAGTGTAACATCCGGATGAGCTTATATTTATGAAAACGTCAATAGTTAAGAAAGTACAGTGCAATTTAACAAAAGTCATTATTTAATAAAGCAAAATTTTATTTATTTATAGTTCACAAGCCACGGCAGTCACATAGTGACTGTAAGGTTGCTAGTTAATTATTAAATATTTAAGCAGCAAAATTATTCAGTAATTATCCTGAATTGTATAAAAAATTCAAGTACAGTTTTTATTTATTTAGTTTTTTTTTTTTTTTTTTTTTTTCATTAAAAATCATTATTTATTGATCTAATTAATTTGTACATTTATATACATTTGATTTAGTTTTATTATTTAGTATTAAAATATTTGAAACAATTTTAATAATATATTTTTGTAGTTCATAGAAAAATTTTACAAAAAGTCTATCCATAATTTAAATTAAAATTTAAATACACACTGAAACACTTGGAGAGATCGATAATTGAATAGTGTAACTGTAAATTCTTTGAGAAACCACAAAGTTAACTGTGTCAAGGAATTATTTTAAAAAGCATTCAGCCATTGTATAACATTCTATTATTCATTAAATTGTTTTTATTTTGTAGAACTCGGCGCCGGATTAATTGATCAAGAGCGAGCTCAAGCGGGCGCAGACGGTCCCGAAGAAGGATCAACGTCTGTTATGTCAACCGTAAACTCTTTGAAATCCCACAAGACTGTCGATTCTATAGAAAATAATAAATATTGGCGTGAATATCAAGAGCAAATGGGTAATTTGAAAATAGATAGCATTAAACTAGTCCAAGAATTACTCGAGAGTCAGAAAATTTATCATACTCTGCTGCAAAATGCCCTGGAGGAACAGAGAGCGCAAATTGGTTCTCTGACTCATCTTTGTGAGGACATAAGTCGACGATTTTCACGGCAAGAATCCGGGTAATTGTTTTTTTATATTATTTACTACTTACTACTATTAAGTTTTGCTACTTGGATTATTGGGTGTAATAGATATTAATTGATTGTTGGGAGTTAAGTAAATTAATTTTTATTGTTATTAATTGTTTGTAAATTAAAGATACAATTCGAGTATACACGGGACCGCATCTCCACAACCGTCATCAGTGTTGGTGCCTCAAATAAGTGTGACAGATCATAATACTCCGTCGAACACAGACAACAAACTCGTTGAATGGCTCCAAGGTCTTGGCATCGACGATATGTCTATCGAAAGGGTAATTATAAGCATCTTGTGCTACTAAAGACTTTGATCTGTCATTAATTGATTTATTCAGAAATTATAATTTATTTATTTATTTTTTATTTATTTGTAAAGAAATGCCCTCGGCAATTTACTACAATGTGTTATATTCTCATGCGTAAAATGTTATGAAAATGAAGTTAGATGAAAATTAAATTAGCCGACATCTATAAATTAAAAAAATTTTTTTTATTAAAAAATTATAACTAAAAAATTAAAAAAAATATTTTTTATTTGTTAAAAACTTCAAAAACTATAAATGCATTTTTTTAAAAATATTTTTTAGTTGTAATTTAATTTTTCATTCAATAAATAGCATCTGTAAAAAGAAGATAGGTTTGAAAAATTAAAAAAGAAATTGTTTTAAAAAATTGCACTTGTACTTTTTTAAATTTCTACATATAAAATGTTTTTGCTGATTTTTTTTTCATAATAATCAAGTTGTTATTAATTAAATAATTGCAATATTATATTAAAGTGACAATTATTCATTTTTAGGAATTTGATAAAAAGAAAAAAATTTTTAGTAATTGATAATCACTAGGATAAAAGACCCCATTAGTGGCGGAGACCCCATTACTGACACTTTTTTTGATTTTGGTACTTATTAAATTAATTAAAGCATTAATTTCAATAATGAATATATTATTTCTAATCTTTAAGACCTTTAGACCAAAGAAATTTTTTATTTTTATTCCAAGTAGAACATTTTTTCATTAAAAGAAAAAGTGCCACTAATCGGGGTTAAAGGTGCCACTAATGGGGTCTGTTACTTTAATTAATAGTTTATAACCCCTATATTATTTTTAATTTATATTTTTAAATTAATTAAAAGTATTTATTTTTCTTGTTACAGATAATATATGAAGAATACACGCTAGATGATATTTTAAATAGTATTTCTAGAGAAGATCTACGAAGAATAAGACTCAAAGGTGGTATTGAATTAAAAATTTGGTCGGCCATAATGTCACATCGTAATAATAACTAATAACATTTTTAAAACTGAATACTTTTTTTATCGCGATATTTTGTACAGTATAGAGTTGTTATTTAGAATTTTTTCTAAGTGTTGACTATTATAGAGTTAATTTTAAAAAATAATATAGTGTTAATTTTTTTTTTTCATGTCATACATATATATTTTTTGTTATATTATTCACGTGTCATTAATTTCATTTTAAATGAAAGTACAAAATTTCTTCTTGAAATTGAGAGAAACTTTTTAGTGCCTTAGTACATAATTGTATTTTTCTTGAATTTATTAATTGAATAATTAAATATTTAAATATGTAACAACGATATAGTCTTCCTAAAATGTACAAAATAAACTATGATTAACAGCCAAAATATACTTTAAAAAAAAATATTAGTCAGTCGAGAAAAATTCCACAGGTAATTAATTTTTTTTCGATGATTCATTGAGAATTTCAGGATAAAAGGTTCCGTCGTACCGGTACAAAATAATACTGATTAAAATTTAGTACTGAGTATACCTTATTATTATAAAACAAGTCACGTGTACTCTTGATCTCGTCTCGAAGCTTTGTTTATTGTAATATATACAATACCAAGAGCACAATTGTATAAATTTAAGAGTTACAATAGTATTTTATTTCTAAATGCCAGAAGTTGAGATAGTACTAACTCAAACAAGACACTGAGTCACGAGTTGTCTCCTACTTCCGTGTTTTACCTGGGATTTTTAATCAATCAATGACGCTGCCTTGCATCTTCCAACCTGGTTTATCTTGACTCACTATCTTGACTCATCAATGGGTTCAAGAGACATTTATTTTCTTAATTAATAAATTTAAATATACAGAACTGGTAGGAAGAAAAAATTCTTAGTTTAAAGAATTTTATAAAAAAAAAAAAAAAAAAAAAAACACCGTGAAGATAAAGCTCGTGAGTCTCACGTCTATCCAAGTAATTTATTTTTTGATTTATTCTTTTTTTAAATTTATCTTACACGTATGTACTACACACAACACGTACAACGTACGTCAGCGCAATACTCTCTCAGTAGCATGTGCGAAATTCCATTTCAACTTTGCCTCGAGGTCTCGCGTTTTGTTCAGTTATGTTTTAACGTTACGTTAGCTTCATGCTTCAGTATCTTGTTCGCCGGCTTACAGATAACACGCGCTTCTATTCCCGCACTTTTATAATTAATTATTTAATTTTATTTATTAAATAAAAATTTGTAAAAAAATATACTTAGTGTTTAACAATCGTGTGTTATCTTCTCTATAATTATTTACAAGTAAAATTATTTAAAAATTTATATATTGTTTACTGTTGAGATATCAGTGATTTTGAAAAAAAATAAATTATTAAAGATAAAATTATTGAAGATTTTTAAAGAGTAATTATTGATTAAGGTGAGTAATAATTTAAAAATAAATAAAAATTCAGCTGGAATTTTTTTCCAGGAAAAAATAAGAATAGACCGAGAATAAAGAAAAAATGAGAGCAAAAAGTCAGCCTTGAACTGAAAAAAGGATTTTTTCCACAGAGAAAGCTATTTAATAGACTTAGAAATAATCTAAAAAGTTACGTGTGATACTTAAAAGTTCTTTACGTAATAGCATTATAATTAGTGGATGATCGTCACGGGATGTTTTGTGATTTGAAACCGGCACTTTAGTGTCTTCATATCAATATCATTCAAATGGGTTACTTATATATGTATTATAAATATATATCTTACATAAATATTCATTCGGGTTCATTTTCTGTATGTATAATAATATGAAAGTTTACCAGTGAAATCTTTTTTTTTTTTTACTCAGTTTTGTTTAGCAAATTTTTACTTACTGACGTATTGAAATTTAATACTGATAAGAATTTGAAATTTTAGACAGTGATTATTTACTAGAGTCTTAGCAGTAATAAGAACTGAAGAATATAATATATTGTTTTGAAAAAAATTAATCAGCTGAATTTTTTTTTTTAAAGATAATACAACCATAACTATTGTATTTATTTTTCTGTTGCAGATATTACTAATATTTATTATTAAATGTAATTTATTGGACGCTTGGATAATTTTTAAAATGAATTTTATTATTGCTTTATTATCTTCATTACTTGTTGGTAAGTTATTTTTAAATAATCTTAGATTTTTATGGATAAAAATTAATTTTTTTTTTTATTTAAAATTTTGTACATTTTTTTTTTATTAAAAATAATTAAAATTAAAAAAAATTTTTTTAATTAAAAAAAAAAAATAGTACTATTGAGAAAATATTTTTAAAAAATAAAAATATTTTTAAAAATTTTATTTACAATAATTTATTTACTAATGTAATTTATTGAACGCTTGAAAAATTTTTTTAATGAATTTTATTATTGCTTTATTATCTTCATTACTTGTTGATAAGTTTTTTTTTTAAAATAATTTTAGATTTTTATGGATAGAAATAAATTTTTTTTTTCATTAAAAATTTTTTTTTTTTTTTTATGAAAAATAGGTAATTAAAATTAAAAAAAAAATTTTCAATTAAAAAAAAAATACTATTAAGAAAATATTTTAAAAAAATAAAAATATTTTTAAAAAATTTTATTTACAATAATTTACTTGCTAAAAAAATTATCTGCTGATTTCAATGTCATTAAATAATAAAATTTGATAATATATTTGACATAATAAATAAACAGCTGTATAAATAAACATCTGTCGTAACAGTAGTCAATAGTAATTAGTCAGCTGTACTTGAAAATGTCAATTGAAAAATTACAGACTAGAATAAATAATATTAACAAGTTATTGTTGATAATTTAAAAAAATATTTTTCAGTCCACGGGATTCCGGCGAACAAAAGAGATGACATTCCACATGACTCTAGAATATTTATCCGAGAAGTAGAAGACAGATCTGGTGACTCAGAAAAACTGCACAGAAATCCGACAGACCTTCCAGTAGTTTCTACTCCAACAACTGTTACTATTACAACGGAGCAGGAGAATCTCGTGATGCCGAAAACCGTTAAAGCCTTCGAAGCTAATGACATGGAAAAGTCTGTTGTTCATCCTACAGACCAAGATGATAATGACAACCGCACTGACAACACTAATAATTACCGCAAAGTGCCTGTTGAAGATGAGACCTTTGGAGGCGATTTCGAGCAGCATTCCGATCCGAAAATTTCTAGGGAAAAATTAAACACCAGGCCAGAGAAAGATAATTCACCTCTGAAGAATATTAAAGGCACGACGGACTTACCGGTTGAAGAAAAAGTTACTTCAAACATTGTTAGTTCGACTTACGCTGGTATGTTTTTTATTTATTTATTTTTTAAACATTATTAATAATCAAGTTATTTTTTTAGAGACAAATCAAGTAAGCGTCGGTGTATTTAATTCAACAAAAGCTCCAATAAATTTCCTGGTTGGCTCTAATGAACCACTGACTCTTGAAAGTCGGCAAGAAATAGTCGAAAGAAGTGAAAATTTAATAGCGCGCATTAAGAATGGAGAAATACCTGACAGAAGCATGCCTTCAGGTTTAATTGCACTTGTCAGCGCAGTTGGAGTTGCAACAATCACTGTGATGGCATATGTCGGGCTAATAGTATGGCGAAGATATCAAGAGTAAGTAAATTTGCTTAAGAGGGGAAGTTCATGTAAAATTTTCAAAAAAATCAATAATACTGAAATTAGCCGACATTTTTAATTTTTTTTTAATAATTCAATTAGAACAAAATATTTTTAAAAAAATGCACTTACAGTTTTTAAATTTTTTTACAAATGTAATTTTTTTTTTATTATTTTGTAATCATTTTTTCAACAAAAAAAATTCTAAAAATTTTTAGATGTCGGCTAACAAAAAATTATCCTGAGCCGCCCTTTTGAAAGGAAAAAAAAATTACTTTTTTACTCGAGAAAGGTTCAATAAAGTTGTGTTAAAGTTTGAAAACAATAAAATTATTTTATCACCTTTAAAAATATTTAAAAAAAAATGACCGATTTTGAAGCTTTTACATGGACTTCCCCCTAAACTTATCATTAAACCATTAGAATTATTAATATTATTTTTTATTATCAGATATCGACATGGGAATCGAGAGCTTCTTGTCAATGACTTCGATGGAAATGACATCAGTAATTTTGAGCTATGATTATAAATAGTTTACCATAAATAAGTACACGAGTCTGTGATAAAAGGACACAGGGTGTCGCAATTTTTTGCGAAGTTTAGAATTAATTGAACTTTTTTTATTTAAATCAAGTACTTGTATACATGATGGCTCACTATTCAATATGATTATCACGCTGTTAGTGTATTTTTAATATTTAATTATTTAATAAGTAAATGTACATTGTACATAAACTAGACACTTAATAAATTAATTAGCTTGTGCTTTTCTTTTTTTAATTACTTACTTTTATTTATTTTTAGTACCATCAATTATACTCTTAATATTCTTGGTTTACAATTATTTACAAGCTTTTTTTCTTGAAAAATAAAAAAAATTAATTCGAAAAAAAGAAAATAATTTACTATAATAATTATAAAAATAATTGGATAATACTGCAGTAATGGTTGGTGATTATCTTTTACTACAGTATGTACACCATGACCAAAAAAAAAAATGGTTTTTGTAATTAAACTAAAAGGTAACTACATTTAATTGCAGTTTGTGAGCTTTAAGTATTGTCGAAAATGCAACAATTACTTGATACGTATTTTGTAGAATCGTTTTTATTGTTTATTTCTTCTTGGTCACGATAAGCGGTCCTACGTTATCGCAAGTAGCTTCATTGTGTTTTGCGTGTGCTCCATCGCAATAAGGCCACTATAAAATAAAAATTTACTGTGATTAATTATTGCAATTATTTATAATACTGGAGTTAGCCGTCAGCTCAATTTTAAAAATTTTTTAGACAAATCAATGAAAAAATAAAAAAATGCTTTTAAAAATTTTCACTTATAATTTTTATTAATTTTCACATGTGGAATTTTTTAATTAAATTTTTTTTTATAATAATTTAATTGCTATAAGGACCAGTTTTTTAATCCAGGATAAAATTTTATCCAATGATAAAATATATCAATATATTTCATGAATCCCGGAAAAAATAGACCCGAAAAAATTTTAAAGATATGAAAAATTCGTATTATTTCATTAAAATTATTATAAAATAAAAATAATAATATTAAAAAAAAAAAAATTTTTTTTTGTAATAAAAAATGGAGCAATCATTCTGGGGGTGCCTGTTTTTCAGGAAAATTGTGGGTGTGATACAATTATTATTATAATTTTAATGAAATAAAATGAATTTTTCATATGATAATAAAGTTAACCGAAATTTTTTATTTTTTTATTTGGCTTAATTTATTGAATTATAACTAAAAAATATTTTTAAAAAAATGCAACTAAAATTTTGGAATTTTTTAACAAATGAAAATTTTTTTTTTAATTTTTTTATAATAATGTTCTAATAAAAAAAAAAAATCATAAAAATTTTTAAGATATCAGCTAACTTTATTTTCATATTTTTCATAACTTTAAAATTTTTTCCGGGTCTATATTTTCCGAATACCGTATTTCATATATATAAATATACTGGCAATAATAATAATTATTATTATTTTATAAATAATTTTATCTTAAATAAAATTTTATCTAGAATTGAAAAACTGGCCCTAAAATTCTAAAAAAATTTCTAATGTCTCTCAACTTTAGTGTCATAATTATTTAGTTATTAATATTAACGTTCAAATAAATATTTTTAGCAAAGTCATACGTAAAATACAAATGAAATATTCATTACAATTAATTATAAATATTATCTATCGATTACGTTGTTGATGATAATGCCAATTAAAAGATTGTCATTTAATAGTAAAGAAACAAACGTAATAACAGTGTATTTATGAATGACCTGAATATACGAGTCATGAAAGTGGAATTTGCTAGCTTACATAACGATACTACCAGCTGATAAGAAAAATATTCAACCGTCAGACTTAGAGATACTTAAAATTAAACAAAAATATGACCTATGACACCCATAAACTGATTAGCGGATAAAAAAACAATAACATTTAAATAAAAATAAATTACATACGTTTTCGCTCTTCCAGCAGCGACAGAAGACCGCTTTTTCAGTTATGTCTTCAACGTCAACAGTGTCTACCACTTTTCCTACATCCTTCTTTACTTTATGATTGACGCGTGCCTTAATTGCCTGCAAAAAATCCTTCAGCTTTAGAATATTCATTAAATTAAAAATTTACAAGTTATTGCACAATTTTTTGTTATCATTAATTAAATAAATGCAATAAATATTTAAGGAAAAATTGTAATAAAACAGCTGTTAAAAATAATTAAAGTAAACAGTTGTCACCTTTTTAGCCTCTGGACACCAAGATTGATAGGACATGTATCCTAGTCCTGCGACTATTGCAGTTGGAGGAATCAAAGCTAGCCAATCTTTAACTGTAAATAAAAAACAAGCTTTAATTTTTTTTTTTAATAATTAGAGAACTTTACTGTTATCATTATTTAATTAATATTTATACAAATTAATGACTTCTAAAATAAGAGAAAGCTTGTAACTGGGTTAAGTTATTGATTTAATCTTTACTGTCAAAATATAACTTGATTTTTTTTTAATTAATAAGTAGATAAAATATTTACTTACATCCTAATTTGAACCATCCTCCAAATGAATTCGGAATAGGTAATCCAGATAAATAATTCGGTAAGGAAACTTTTACGACGTGAGATACTGTCTCCATTTTTAATAAAACTACTCTAGTCAATTTATTATTTTATTTAATTGTGTCGATTTTTTATTCAATTATAATTTATTTTAATTGATGAAAATTAATTTAGCAGATATTTTATAATTTTTTTAATAAATAAATTATGTCAAAAAAAAATGAGAAAAAAAATTGACATTTAGAAAATTAAAAAAAAAATAAAATATGCAATTTTTTTCAAATAATTTTTTGAAATAAATCTTTTTGTTAAATAAAATTAATTTTCAAGTGACAGCTAACTTTAATGATGAAAATTAAATTAGCTGATATTTAAAAATTTCTATTATTTATTTTATTGAAAAATAATTTTTAAAAAATTAAAACAAAAATTTTCTCATGTAGAAAATTTTTAAAAATTATACGTGGAATTTTTTAAAAATAGCTTTTTAGTTATAATTTTTAATTAATAAAAAATTTTTGAGTGTCGACTAACTTAATTTTCATACTTTAATGTCATTTTTAATTGAACAGGTCACGTTTTATTTTTCTAAATTAATTAACTATTGTTATAAAATAAATTTTATATTTAAAATCACCGTAAATTTAAAAAATTTATTTTTTACACTATATTGTTTACAAAAACGTTTAATAATTGAAATTTTTGATAATTATTGATTTTAAAAATTAGAAAATTATATGATTAAACAAAAAATTTTATTTACTGTAAATATTCAGCCATTTTTACGCAATAATAATAATAAACGCGGGAAAATTCAAATATAAACTTGACTCGCGCAGTAATTTAACTACTGCGCTTGCGCAGAAACTCAAATTAACGCTCGTAAGGTGGCGCCATCAGTTAGCAAGCAGTCACCTGGTAAACGCCGGCTCGAAAGGGTGTGTGATGTTTTCTCATGGCCAGCAATAACTTTATTACATCCATCAGTTGTACACAACATCAACAACGCACATCAACATCACTCGCACAAGCGGTCTCGGTGCAAGTACGAGTTTCGCGCATACACTTGCGCGGTACATTGCGCGTCTAAACTCGATTTGCTTCCCATCTAACAAAACAAATTTTTAAAAAGTAATCAACAATACTAATACATAAAATCCATAACCAATAAATAATGCTTCCGTTTATTTTAAAAAATAAAAAAAATCGAATGGTGAGTGGTCATTAATCAGGGCAAAAAGTAACCGGGTTTGCGACTGAGACAAGTCAAAAAAGTAAAGTAAATAAATAAAAAGGTGGCTGTAAAAAGGTAAAGGAAGAGCGTTAAGTAAAAAAGAAAAGAGGCAAAGAGGTGGGTAGTGAGTAGTGAAGGTAGAGGAAGAGGAGGGAAAAGACGAAGACGACGTGCGAGGGCGCGCAGGAGTTTTAGTATCCCCTGGACATTCCTGTCTGTTGGCAATTCAACATCAACTATTTTTTAAGTTATTAAAACCTCTAGGTACTTGCATTTATTTTATTTATAATTATTATTATTTAATTATATTTATTTATAATATTTTATTTTTGTCGTTCGCAGCAACTGGAGGTCCTACATAGCTAACTACTCGTCGCCCTTTATTTTAACTACCAAAGGAATAAATATATTCTGTTCATTAACTTTCAGTCGTGTTCACTGAACGATAAAATTGTGCATACGCAATAATAAGTACACCGGTATCAAATGTTAAGCTAAAAAAAAAACCGTTTTATTCTACGAGTGATTAAATATTATTAATAATAATAATAAAAAATTATTAATTATTGTTAAAAGAGGGAGCCTTGTAATAAATGTCAAAGTGCGCATAAACGCGGGAAAATTAATTCGTCGGTTAATAAAAGCGAAACGTCAATTGTCATAGCGGGTATGCATTAATTTTAAGTACGAGTTTTGTCTGTGGTTACTGTGGTGGTTTGTTTTTTTTTTTTTTAAATTTTATTTTCTAAAATAATGCGGTGTTGTTTCAATAATAATCTTCGTTATTGTGTCGTAATTTTGTTTAAATAAATTGATCGATTAAATGACTGAATTGAGAGTGATAAAATAGAGCGGAAAATAAACTAAATATTACGTGGGGATCGATGTGCTGTGTAAAACATGGCTGAGGAGCTGCTGGTCACGCTTTGCAGAAGCGACACCGCGGGATTTGGATTTTCGCTACTTGGTACTGCCGGGCTGCCTCATGTTATTTATGATATTGTTGAAAATTCACCAGCAGCTGACAGTGGAAAGGTCAGTGCTTTTAAAATACCTGTTATCAACTATTTATTATTACTGTTATTTAAAGCTAATTGTTGTTATTTTATTAGCGGTATGGTAAAACGGTTTATTGGAGCTGTAGGCCGAATTACGGGCGTATCGACCCGCTGGCTCGGTCTTCTCTCTCGCTCTTTTATATCATTTTATTTTACAGTTTTTTACGAGGGTAATAGTTCCGTCAGTTCGGTAACTAGTAACACAAGTAATACCATTCTAACTTATTTTACATGCAATGGTGTGAGGTATGTTTTACTGCAGTAAAATACCTCGAGATTTTTTGTTATTTTAAAAGGACTAAGGATACAATCTTGTATCTCGACTATTCGCGTCTCGCGTGCCGGATGATGATGCCTATTGGATACTCAGAGACTTGTTTCGCATTCCAAACCTTTTGTTTTTATTTTATGCTGTTTTTGAATTTTAACTCGTGCATTTGTCACGAAAATTGTGTCTTTAATTTTAAATTAGGTTTTAATTAGAAACTGGAGTAGATTTTAATTAAATTACTTTTTTCATTTTATTTTATTATTTATATACAGTCAGGATTATTATAAATACATAAAGTTCAATAGGTCACTGATTAAAGTTTAATTAATGACAGAATAAAATAACTCGTTTGTTCTTTAATTATATCTGACATTTTTTGAAACTTTTATAACAAATTTATTTTTTATTTATTTTTAAAGAAACGCCCTCGGCAATTTATAATAATATGTTACATTTTTATGTGTAGTATCTTTAGTAATTATTTTATACAATAAATAGCATCTATAAAGAAAAGATAGATTTAAGGGGGGAAATATTTTTTTAAGGTTTAACAAATTAATATTATTTATTGAAACTATCAAGTTATTTTATTTATAAGTGTATCTTCCATATGAACCTCAATTTCAAAAAAAAAAAAAGTAAAAATTTGCATTTTTTAGTGGGCTGTAAAATTGACTCGTGATTTTTTACCACTTTTTCATACATTGTTTATTAAAAAAAAAAAATAGTTTAAATAAAAATATCGCTTCCGATTGAGATTCATATTTAAGGTAATTATAAAAAAAAAATTGTAAGCCATATCGCAAGATGATTGGTTTAAAACTCTTTAAGTGCTAAACTGCAAACAGTTTCGAGAAAAACACATTTGAAAAAAAAGTTAATGTAAAATAGTATTAAAGTAATTACTAAATCGCTTATAACTTTTGAACGAATTAGAATTTTGACTTGAAATTTTAAATCTATATTTTTGAATAGTTTTACAAGCGATTTATAAAAAAAAAATTGAATTTTTTTAAGCCTGTACACGTATTTCCCTCTTCAGAAATTAAAAAAATTATTTTAAAAAATTGTACTCGCGCTTTTTTAAAGTTTTACTTATAATATATTTTTGCTAATTTTTTTTTATAATAATTAAATTGTTATTAATTAAATAATTACAATATTATGTTGGTGACAATTATTAATTTTTAGAAATTTGATGTTAACTAATTGAAAGGAGTAGAGTAATAGCCAAACCCCACACTATATATCTCATTTCAGTCTGTATCTATAATGTAGAACTATCGACTGAAATATATTTAGGTCAGTATCCCCATAGATTTCAATTTAATTTAGGATTAGTTAGATTAGAATATACTTGAGTGAGTAGCAACAATTATCCAGATTGATATCCGGTGTTGATAAACCACAAAAGAGACCAAAGAGGTATGGTTACATGTACTAAGAGAAAGAGAATGCAATTTAGTAAATTATCGGTTGTTAACATGAACGATGGGCTTGTCGTCATATGCTTTATTATATAATAAATATAAATAGACGATGAAATAAACATTTTATATTCATTTTTTTTCCATATAAAACGGCTTCTTTATTTAAATTATTACGTATCATTACATATAAACCAGACAATGACAATCCAGTGGCCAGAAAATAGTAATAAATATACAGACAGTGCTCTATTTTTTTCGGATTATTTTCATTTCTAAATGGCTTTGTTTATTTTTTTTTTTTTTCCTTTTTTCATAATGTTTTTTTCCGCTCATTTTCCATCCGTGGTATAAATTTTCAAAGATTACCCCGGCGAATTTTAATTGCACGAAGGTATAACGCTGGCTTTAGGTTTATTACCTCCGGAATGGGGAAAAGGGATCTCGTGTACTTGGTTTTCACGATGGATAGACAGATATATACACACCCTTTGCTTTACATATGTATACACTCGCCATTTTAAATAAAAGAAAGGAAGTTTTAACTACTACCAGAAACTATTTTCTATAATTGTTCTTCAAAAAAAAAAATAATATAATTTTACAAAATTTTGATTATCGTTTCAGTTGATTTTCAGATTTTCTGGTAAAAATAAGAATACGGAAGCTGATAACTATGAAATAATATATTAATAGCTCAAGGTTATCGCACTCTGACCCCTATTGTGTATTTATAGTTTGATGTTACGTCTTAGAGGTAATTAATATTTTTAAAACGCTGATTCATTGATAAATTGCTAATTATTTTGTCATGACAGCCAATAGATTGAATGATATATTATAGTCACTTTAATCGTCATTAATAAGTTTATTAAAAAACTAATAATAATTTTTTTCAATTTTATCTATATTATTGATAAAATAAAAAAAAATACATAAGTATTAAGGCTGCATTCAAAAATTCTCTATCTCTAGATACATAATTAAGAAATGACCTTGTATCTTGAGAACTATTAACATTTTTAAAGATATAAGCTCATCCCGATGTTACACTCATCAAGACCTTTCATTTGAGTACCCACATCAATTTTTTATATATTTATATATTAATATATATGTATATATGAAAAATATATCAAAATGCATGTGGGTACTCAAATGAAAGCTCTTGATGAGTGTATCATCGGGATGAGCTTATATTTTAAAAAACCTCAATATTTAAGAAAGTACAGTGCAATTTAACATAATTAAGAAATGACCTTGTATCTTGTGAACCGTTGACATTTTTAAAGATATAGGCTCATCCCGATGTTACACACATCAAGACCTTTCATTTGAGTACCCACATGCATTTTGATATAATTTATATATATTACATATATGTATACATATATATAATATATATAAATATATGAAAAATTGATGTGGGTACTCAAATGAAAGCTCTTGATGAGTGTAACATCAGAATGAGCTTATATCTTTAAAAACATCAATATTTAAGAAAGTACAGTGCAATTTAACAAAATTAATTACTTAATAAAGCATAATTTTATTTATTTGTAGTTCATAAGTCACGGCAGTCACATAGTGACTGTAAGTTTGCTAGTTATTATTATTTTTTTTTTTTTTGATTGATTATTTCGGTGTTAAAAAATTTCATTGTAAAGAAATTTGTTCTAAGAATTGTTATCTATAATTATCTCGCGTGTTTTGGTAAAGTCTAGTGAGAAATATTTATGTAGCTAATGACTGATTTTAATCAGGCATTTAACTTTAAAATTTAAAATTCAGTATAGGTAAAATAAATATAAAAAATTCTCATCACAATGTAGTAATAATAATGGGCTAAAAATATGATTTGATGCCGAGTACAGAGTTTAATAGAAGAGAGTATTAAAAGTTCGTGCTACACGCAAAGTTTATCTACCATTGATTCATTTGATCGTTTATAATAGTATTATCGCGGCGATTTACTTTATGATACTGAATGTTATATATTATTACAGTATATTTACAAATCGATCGGCTAATTTTAATGAGATTGAATAGTGTGTAATGAGATAATGATTTTACGGTATGCTTGTTATTTTTATCTAGTTTTTAAATAACTAAAAATCTCAAAAATTTAATTTAATTAAGCGATTTTAATTCTCAAAAAGTTTTATTAATACAAAATAAAATTATTCAAGTACTTGGGGTATTAATAATTGTGTAATATAATTAAAAACTTCATATATCAAACTTATTATAATAATATAATTAAATTATAACCCACACAATAGTAAAACTATTTTTTGTTCTAGTTATTTCCATGAGCTTTGTTCCAGTAAAGTCAGCTTACGGGTTAAATGTTGTTTCTCGCATGGATTAAAAATTGAGAGTACCGCCGCGTATTTTATTATTATTACTACTCGCTTTTTTTTTGCAGGCATACATGAAAGCTTAAATGAGTTAACATTACAGGAATTGTACAATTAAACAATGAAAAAAAAATCTGGCTTTTATGTTTGGTAATTAAAACTAGATTGTTAATATTAAAAATGATGAAAAAAAAAAATATTTTATTTTTTGGCTTTTGTAGTTTTTAACAAAAGAATTCAACTGAACCCCGGTTTCAATCAAATGAAATTGCTTCTTTTATTTTTATTATTCCTACAAATCTTGGTTGTAAAAAGTAAAGACTTGGAGACTCTTCAGAGCTATAGTATAGGAAATAATTTACAAGACAGTAAAAAAAAGTAGAAAAGATAGTTTTTGTCATTTTGTTGGCGCCGGTACCTTTTCATGCCACCAAACCGAGGAAATTATATTAAATTCCGTCTTATCAATGAAAAAAAAAATAATAAATATCTGAAATAATGCTTTGCATAAATAAAACTTTTCCGGAAAATTTTATCGAATATTAAACTTGGCGAGGAGTTAATTTAATTGTTAAGTTTGTAACTGGTACATGTAATTATTTATATACATGTATTTAATTAAAGTTCTAAATAAAAGAGCCCTTAAAGTTTAAGGTGAAAAGTTCACTCGCTTCGGTTACAAAGTTTTGTATATTATTGTATGGAATGATAGCTAAAAAATTGCACTTTATGATCTAGAAAATTAACTTAGTATCTTTTATTTATTATTTTTTTTTAGTTATTCATTGTTTTTATCTCACCGTTTTTCTGAGAAATAATTCACACTTGTTAAATTTCAAAGCAATTTGCAATGATAATTATGAATATAAAAATAGGTAAATTTAAAAAATGAAGTATACATCTGATACTTTATCATCCATTTCACTTTACACCCACATAAACTGTTTCACGATGTTTCCATTCACTAGACGGTGGAGTAGAGTACCTTTCCGTTTCCGGGTGCCGGTAGAAAAGAGAAGGTATTTAGATATATACGTCTGTATCTGAATTATATATAAAATACAATATATAAAGTCTAGTCTGGAACGCAAAGTAAGGCGTCGTCGGTTTACTTGG